CAAGGAGGCACAAACAAAACTACAATGGTGCCATGTTGCCCCACAACAGCGCACTCATCCTTCTACACTTATATTTTTAAGTGGCTTTTGAAAGCGTCTTGAAATAAAAGGAAAGAACCTGATCTAAGAAGAAGCACCACAAAATTCTGCAAAGAATAAATAAATGAGATTGCTAAAAAGATACCAGATAAAATGAAATAAAACGGTGTTCATTTGGCGGACCCTTCCAAGTGGACATAGCAAGGCAACCCCAGGTTTCAAGAAGGGTCCTATTATGGTACACGGATGTATCAGGAATAGGGTGTAGTTTTTGGAGTAAAAAGACCGAATTAAACTCTAGCAAAAGACCTTGAACTAATCCCAATAATCTTCTAGGCTAAGGTCCATACAAGCCAACTCACACAGCAGTGCACAGGAAGTAAAGAAAAAAGGTAAATTTGTATACTATCGAACATTCGGGCAATAAATGCCTTTACTTTCAGCTCCAAAACTAGCCTGGGAATGCCTCATTGGTCTAATGGTCTAGGTCCTAGACTCTAGGAAATCAGTTGGGACTGGAAAACTGGCTTAAGAAAAACTTAAGTCCACTAAAAGGTCACTTAAATCCGTTAAAAACACCAGCTAAGAGATGTGTAATTTTCTCAAAAAGGAAGGGGAATCAACTACCCTCTCAAGGCGAGATTTGAGGAACTTAATAGGCCCAGCCCTCTTGAAGAATATAGACAAACCAACGACAGAAAGATGACTCTTTCTCAGGAACCATAAATATCGGCACATCTTTTGTTATATGAAACATGAGCCAGGCTACGGTACAACTTCAGGAAGGCAATTCTCACGCCAAGCAATGCACGCGAAGAGGCACTGAGGAAAGTATCTAGGGGCGTCGTTGGCCGCTCATTAATGTAAGGTAACGGTCCCGGGTTCGAATCCAGCGGCCCTGCATTCGAGCCCGACATACTTATAAATGGGCTTTTTTTCAAAAACACCGGCACCCTGAGGGTTTATATGACCTGTTGCGAACCCTCGTAAAACAATTTATAAATGGTATTTATGCGGAATTAGCGGAATTCACTCGGTAGTGGCAAGCCTTTCATATTTTGAGAAGAAAATCGAAATTTGAACTTTGTAAAGTTCAGTCCGCAAAAAACGATACCAGATTCCAGTCGAATTCCCGAATATCACATTAGTGCATTTTCCTTCCAGCTGACGTAACTGACCAATACTCCAGGGCATAAGTTACCTCGAGGAATTCCTAGCCAAATTTTAAAACTTGGCAGAGTGCGCTGGAATTTATGTTGGGGACAAAACTAAGTGAAGGACTTGTAAGTAACCTGATATAAAAAGGCAGGGGAGCTATTTCCAAAAGTGTGTCCTGTGGCAAAATTTGTATCTTATTCTTAATATTCATTCTTCATTTTGAAGTTTTTTTTTAAATTTAATTTTGTTTAACTTTTAACGAGGGTATTCCAACTACGGAGTTAAATGAATCCTCGGGTTGTCGATGTTTTTGAAAAAAAAGCCCATAAGTATGTCGGGTTCGAATGCAGGGCTGCTGGATTCGAACCCGGGACCTTTACCTTACAGTGATGAGCCCCGTGTCAACGCCTAAACCGTTGCGGCCACCGACGCCCCCGAAATGAAAAAGTTTGTCAAGTTGTTTGTTGTTTTTGAAGTTGTCAAATCGTCTTGAAAATGTGAGGAAGGATTTGAACCGGAAATTTAAGATCTCCCTTCATAAATCAACAATTTCTCCCACACCCGGCCTGTTTCTTTTTGTCGTGAGCGCGATAAACAAGAAAAAATTAGCGTGCCCGGTAATGGACGAGTTTGTAGGGAAAAAGAAGTTACGATATCGTAAAAACGTCCATGTTATGAAGACACGAGATCCCCTTCTAATTGTGGTCAATTTGTGCCGGTCGATCATCATTCATCCAATTGGTAATTAAAGACTGGTTTTAAGGGACTAAGCCCGCTTTGATTTAACACCGGGGATTAGCGAAGAGATAATCATTTAAAAGGGGGAGAACGTTATAACAAACTATCACAAACTGGCCTTTGCGAGATGCCGACTTTGTGAGAACCCACAGACCTGCCTGATCACGGCTTGGTTTTTCCTATAACAACATACGAGGATTTCCAAAACTTTTTTTAAATTTATTGTGGTAATTAAATCAGAAAGAAAAATCGATGGTTAAATGAAATATTAAGAACGTACCAACTACAAACCAAAAAAAGGACATTTGTAAAACTCCTAAGACATAAGAATGACAAAAATAACGTTGGACCAAAGAGAACTTTTGTAATATATGTATTAACACAACTACGGTTTTCATGGTTAAAGAGAATACAACTGGACGAAAAAGGAGAAACTGTGTATGCTTACAAAATGAGTTTTCTTGTTTACCATTCTTAAGTAAATCCGTCATTAAAATTTAACAATTTTTTGTTTTTGGTTTGTATTTTCTATTTTGTTTTATCCAATTAACAAGAATATATGGGTTAATTCATTATCTGTCGGACCGATTTTGCCGCCAGGAAACTGAATTCTCACCTTACATTCGCATTAGGGCGAGTGTTCCACAGGGAAACATACTTGGCCCATTTCTATTTTCAATATTCTCTGCAGATATTCTTACACATGTTAATATTTCAACACATACATTCGCTGATGATAAAACGATTCTTACACGTAATTCAGACCCTCAATTAACACTTAACACTTACAATGAATGAATGAACAGTATGGTTCACAAAGTGAAAAATGAAGATGAACCTAACGAAAAGATAAATAAAAAACGAAAAGATAAATTTTACCTTACATAAAAATATCTGTCCTGAAGTGAGAAATGGAATCCTATTGTCTACCACTGACCTTGTGCGTTATCTTGGACTTTCCATGGATAGACGACTGACTTGGAATCCCCAAACAAGACTGAAAAGACTGTAAACAAACCGGCATTATAAATTATTAAAAAGCCTACTTGACCCACAATCAAAATTTGACGTTAAAAACAAACTTTTAATTTACACGACAATGATTAGACCTCTGGGCATACGGTTGTGAAGTGTGGGGCTCAACCAAAGATTCCAATTCCCAACGTCTTCAATCAGACCAATCTAAAATTTTCCGTCAAATTATAAATGCTCCTTTTTACATCTGCAATTGCACTTTTCATAACGACCTACACATCCATTTGTACATGAACTTATCAAAACCCGCAATAAGAAATTTCATCATTCACTAAAAGCACACAATAATTTATTAGTATGACATTTATGACTTCCAACCATACCTGAAAATCCTCCAAGACGATTGAAGCAAAATTGACTCCAAGACCTTCTCATTGAGGGAAGATTGAAAGGATTTAGGTGTGAAGGAGTGTTGCCACAGGGCAACTTCTTCTACAAGAGACAAATTCAACATATATGGACATATTTACTTAATACAATATTTGTAGTTGTAAATATCAAATAAATGTAATAAAATATTTTTTTTAAAAATTTTTGACCAGTTTATATAAAGTATTCTAATACTACTCTTATTCGCGTAAAGTGCTGAGCTAACATTCCTGTGGATGTAATGTCAAAGATCAATATAATACATGCAGTACTGGACCTTGTAAAAAAGCTCGGAAAGAAGATAATGAAGGCTGAAAGACTCCTTTCCAGTTGCCATCTTCTTCAGGGCTTATCATTTTATTGTGTTTCTGACTGTCCATATGTTCCTAGTTAAAATGGGTATTCAAAGAACAAAATACAAGGGCAATGCTTAATAATGCAATTTCAGTTTTTCATTTGATCACATCCACAATTGGTATTGTTTGATTGGCATCGACCGTTTTTCAGTGGTCCAAGTATAATGTTAGAAAACTTGCGTGTCCACCACATTACATTGGCTTATCACACCCAGGGAAATTGCAAGGTATAACATTTTAACAGCTCTTTGAAAGTGTATATCAAACGATAAGCTTCAATAGACAAAAGCCGCTTGTATTATTTCAGTTAAGAGATTGATGCTGGATGCCAGTCTGCGAGTCGAAGATACTATGTATATTTTTCCAGTTTCTTCTGCTATCACTACAGACAGAAAACAACTCATCAATAAACATAACATTCCAATTGGTGTTCTCTTCTAGGCACTCGCTGAACCATATTCTCCTGAGTTGCTGCAGGCCTTTATTTAACCTCAACTTATCTACCTGAGGCAGTAGCTATGTTCCAACTTACACCTCAGTATACTTGCTTACCTGAGTAGTAGAAAAGTTACCAACTTACACCTCAACATACTTCCTTACCTGAGGTGGTAGCAATATTACCAACTTACACCTCATCACTTATTTACCTGAGGCAGTAGCACTGTTCCAACTTACACCTCAGTATGCTTGCTTACCTGAGTAGTAGCAAAGTTACCAAATTACACCTCGACATACTTATCTACCTTAGCTGAGGTGCTGGCAGTTACCAACTTGCACCTTAACGTACTTATCTACCTACAGCAGTAGCAATGTACCAACCTATGCTTCAACACATTCTGAGGAGGTAGCAATGTTAGTAGCAACTTACTATCAGCCATGATTTCCTGGGGTGCCAGCAATGTTAACAACTTATACCAGAGCACATTTGTAAACCTGAAGTTTTAACAATGTTTCCACTCACTAAATTTTCTTAAAATGAAACTAAAAGTCACATATTATCTTTTCTCCAAATCCAAAACCAAATTGGTGGTTGGAGTGGTTAGTTAACAGTTGGTTTTTTCTTCTGTATGATTTTTAATTTATGTGTTATATTTTTGTAGAAGAAAAAATTTATTTAAGAAATATTTAAAAAGGATTTATTTAATATGTTTACTTTAAACAGCTATAAAATAGTGGAAAAAAACAAACCAACAATCAAAGAATAACGGATGCAATTTGATACGGATAAGAAACCAAATTTAACTCTGAAAAACATTTATTTTAAAATCAGTTTTGGTTTGTTTTCGATTTGTAACTTTTTTCTTTTTTTTTTAAACAATAAGTCGATTGATTCCCAAACATTACATGAAAACTCCACCTTCATCTTCTTCGGCGTCTTCATTTTCTGAGTCGAAAGTATTATCAGGGATATCGTAGAGACGGATCAATGGCTAAATTAAAATTTAGTTTAAATTAAATGTGGAAAACAATGGATAAATAGAATGAAAATTCACCTTGTTGGGATCCTTCATAATTAGATATTTTCCATCTCTCTGCTTCATGCAAATATCAATTATGCACCTCAAAATGCCCCAGGCGTTATCCATATTAAGCTTGATCTGTTGTGCAAACTCAGCAGGCTTATATTGTTGCGTTCCGAGGATGACGTGCTTCGACGAATCACGAACGTGAACACGAGAAACGTAACTATAATGATAAAAGGATTTTTTACATAACTTTAACCAGTAAATTAATGAAGGCTGAATCTGCTTACCCGAATTTAATCTGATCAGAACCTGCCAAAATAGCTTGAACGGTCCATTTTGCTAATTTGCAAGCATTGTTCCTCAATTCGTTAGCAAGGACCGCACCACGTTGAATGTCCAGTTTTTGCCTCCATTCAACACCACCAGACAACTATAATTTTAACATATTTATAAAAATTTTATTAAAATAGAAAAAAAATTTACCTTTGAATCCCATTCATTTAAGGCTTTTATTGTTAAAAATTGATCTCCGGATGGTGAATTGACGACGGCATCGTGTTCACACCTTGCCACGAGGATGACGCCGTTGTCCAAATCCCATTTTCTGTAGCGATAAGCGACAGAAGCTTCCTCTCCTTCTTCTGGAGAAGTGATAAATGGGTTTGGTTCGCCGAATTTAAATCTCGCTTCGCCCTTAAAAATAATTCTATTATTTTCTTCTTCTGCTTTTCAAAATGGATACCAAACAACTTACAGTTTTCAAAACTTGTTGTGAAAAATTGTGGTTAATAAATGTAGCCTCGAGCGCAAGATTCCTGGGTGAATTCAAACTATTGCCATCATCACTGGGCGGTTCGACCGATGTTTCATTAACAGTAAGCAAATCTACAAACATAAAAACAATTTTCCAAAAAGATTCTAATTATGTAAAAATTATTATACAAGAGAAAGGGTAATTACCAAATTCAGTATTGTCACGTTTATCAAAAAACAGTTTATCACCAATTTTCTCAATGACGATATCCCAGGAATAATTGGAACGTGTACAGCACATGAGGGTTGCTAAAATAGCATCAGTTGCATAAACATTTCCTTCTGTTTTGGATAACTTAAAAAAAAAAATTGTTAGGACAATATAATTTTTTTTAAAGCATTATTATTAAAGAAGTTAATATTTACTTTACGAATTATAGGATCATCAGTCGTAGTAACAGTATGGAATATACGATCGATTCTTTGCAGTAACTTCTCATTCTTCACGTTAACACGATCGTAAGATTTGTCATAATACTCCAAAGATCCACAACAAACACTGAAAGTTTCAATGTAAATTATGTATTAAAAATGCATAAACGTAGAGTTTATATTCTTACATATCATCGGCTTCTTTGACATTAGGCAGAGACAGTTTAGACAGCCGGGGGAAGTCCATCTCTTCAATAGTCACCCAATCAGGTCGAACTGTCACACTCGCATCACGATTTTTGATCGGCGCTTGATTTTTCTGGTTTCGCAAACCTTGTTGCTTCCCATACTTCTTAACATTCACCTGATTCTTTCTATCCCTGTATATCATTATAAATTCAATATATGTATATTAATAATCATGTTTCATGTTATTGGTCTAAAATATGTATATACAGGGTGTACCATGAACATCAATACTTCTTGATTATTTTACACGCAAAATTGGACTAAAAAGTCTGATTCTCAATTTTAATTGAGATATTTATTTTTTCAGGTTAATTTAAACATTTTACAACTTTAGTCCGTAAATATTCCATCTATGGATAGAACTTTAAAAACCCTAAGATTATTATTATTAATATTATTATTACATTTTTTATTGTAACTTTAAGCAAACAGAATCATATAGAAAATAAACTTGTACAAGTTAGCTCTTGTCTAAAGTTAAGTAAGATTTTCTAGGTTCTGTAAATACTGATAATCTAGTGCTTAATGAAAAGTTGCCCCTAGTAACATGCTTTAACCATATGTACGTAATTTCTCAAAGGTCAGTTACCACCAATGTAAAACAGGTTTAATTGCTAACAATTTTTGATTGAGTGATTTTTCAGTCACAAATGGTTTAAAAAAATTAATCATTATGTTGAAACTTCTTTAGACGAATAACAAAATAATACAAAGTAAACAAAAATGACTTTTGGGTGCAAAATTGAACATGAAAACACAAGCTAAGATTTAACCCAGATGGGCAATATGGGTAATTCTTAAAAATTAAGTATATTCCATACCTGTCAGACTAAGGACAAGTCCATTGAAAGGCTTTTATGAAGTAGAGAAGCAGGATGAAGTCTTGAGAGTAGTCAGATTTCTTCGGAACAATGACAGTCTTTTTACAGATTTATTCTTTGACAAAGTGGACATTTTGAACACTAATTATGTTCAATTATGTACCAAAGAGTCTTTTATGTTAATTTCATTATTTGTTAAAAATTTTAAACATGTTAATGAGTATTTTACTTGACTAGTGAAACTGACCTTCGAGAAATTATCTTAATCAGTTTAAAGCTGATTTGTGGGGGCAACTTAAAAACGGTAATTATTAGTCAAGAAAATATTTTTTTTTTGTTTTTTTTTTTGGGGGGGGGGTTTGGGGAGTCCCATTACCCATGACCCTAAGAAAATATTACTTAGACAAGAACTTTGAAAAATCAACAGAGTTACTCTCTCAACAAAAATCGTAAGAGTTATGTTCATACTGCTCTTGTACTTTGTTTGCTCAAGGTTACAATAAAAAAAATTTTTTAAATTAATTTTAAAAAATTAATCTATCTTGCAGGATTTGTAATGTTTTTTTGTTTTTTTCTACTGATCCAATTTAGATGTAAATGTAGATCTATTGTTAAGTGCAGAATCACAGTTTGTTAGTACGTTTGTTGGTGTTTCCTCTAATTCTTCGCAGAACCTGTACTTGTGTTAGGTTATGCCAATCTTCTTCATATGTCCATTTAGGTTGCAGTGTCCTGTTTGGATTTGAAGTTTTTTCGGGCTTCCTTTAATGCATTCAGTTACCTCTTTTCCTTGCAAAATTTGCTAGAAGGTTGTTGGATTGTTTGTGCCCAATAAGTGAGTTCCATCGTCCCCTCATTTTCTTTTTATCCTTCTGTCTGAGGACTCACTGACAGTGTGGTTTCCTATAACAAAGAAGCTTTGGGTCCTATCGGTGGTACACCAGCCCCTTTTCTTGCAAGGGCTTTCTTGATCAACTTTATGGTAGGAAAAATATTTTATGAGATATGGCAGCTTTTGGGTAAAGAGTTGTAAAAGACTTAAGTAACAGGAAAACTGAAATATCACGAATACAACTGAGAATCAGACAAAAGGGACAATGCAGTTTCATTTTACAAGTAGAACAACCGTCCAAATTATTGTCACCTGTTCATGGGACACTCCTTTTTACATACATTACATTTTAATATTAAATTTCTAATGTTTTACATTATATATATTTTTTATATTGGGGAGAGAAACTATTCGCAATTTATTTAAAGAAAAAAAAAAACTATTTCAAAAAATTATTTTTTGGAAATCTTCTATAGCTTCTTCAACCAAGAGTGCATTTATTTATCATATTAACTGAAAGTAAATTAATTGCTTGTGGTACCGAAAGACAACCTTACCACAATTTTCTTCATTTTCTTCAATAACGTTGATTTACAGGACACCGAATGAAATTTAGGTCTCCTTTTTCCTAAAGGTAGAATCATCTACATTTTTTCTTATGGCTTTTTTTTTTATATTTTGATGATATGCAAGGTAAAACTAAACTTTAGCCTGATGGTTTTTAAGTCTTAACTAAGGATTAAAAATATTTCAATCATTTTTTGGGGTTACTCAAAAACCTCAAGCACCAGGTAAACAATTTTTTGTGCACTGACCAATTGGACCATAACTGCTACTAGACACCAAAAAACATACGTGCATTGGGCCATAATAAGCAGACTAAATTCACGGGAAATTAATACTTTAATGATGACAGGAAGGCTAAAATGATCTGAAATTACCAAACCAAAAAAAATCTTTGTGAAAAATTTACCAATATACGTATCTTTACAACAACCCCATATTTTAAAGCGAAGTGTTGCAATATACAGCGTGCATATTTATACAATCTAAAAGTTAGTACAATTTGATGTTATGTACAAAACATACCAAACGTATCCAGCCCTTTGGCCACCCCTTCCTCGGAGATTCCTCTGCATCTGGCGAAACCGTCCTCTTTGGTACGGCGGCTTCTGCACCCTGGTGGTGTCGACAAGATGAAAGCTGCTCTCGTCCTCCTCATGGTAGTAAGCATATTGGCTACCGGCTCCGAACTGAGACTGGTATTTACCTGAAAACGATCAAAGACGAAATAAATGCAATCTGCTGAAAAAAGGGAAATGGAGATGTTTATACTCACTGGTGTATTTCTTGTCCTGGAATGTAGCACCTGTCCAGTCGGATATCTGTACAAACCAGGCATACAATTAGACTTAAACTTTTTAAATTTACTAAACATACAAAACATACTTTTCCGAGGCGATCCCCTTTGGAGAAGGGCTGATAGGGCATATCTTTGAACTGTTCTGGAAGGGCGCATGGTCCCCATCCGGTCTCGTTATCTTGGATATTTAGCGTCTTAAATCTCGGCAGATTCAACTGCTGTTCTTCCGTTTGGCCGTCCATCACTTCTGGCATTACAAATAATGCACCGCGGTTGGAATAATAACAAACAAATCAAATTATTGACCAGGTTTGACTCAACTAACCACGATTCGAAAGATCATTAGGTTGACCAGTAGGTCAATTTCAGCCTTTCAGGTTATAGGCGTTTCAGCCACCCAGGCAACGCGGCCAACCGCGCGACATCTATGTACGTCATCCAAGGAAACTTTTTAGTTCAATTAATGAACTAATGTTACCAATCCATAAATTTAAGTATTCATGGATTAGTAATATTTAATATTTATGGATTATTTAAAGTATTTAATAATCAAATTCTATTTACTTTTAACAAATTAATCATGAAATATATCCCATCGTATTTTACAAGAAACAATCATTTCGAGACAACCTGCTCAATTCCCAGGAAGTTGATTCCTAATGTTTTAGAAAATTTAAATACTTCCCTACAATTTTAATGTAGTAAGGATCATTTAGGCTAAAACACAGGTTTAGATTAGTTTTAAATGAGGATAAACGACTCGGGCCATATCATTTATTGTACTTCAGTCTACTTGGACAGTATGGCAGCTATAAAGCCACAAATAATGAATATGTTAGCTCCAAGCTATCCAAACTAGTCTGGGAATGCTTAAATTGCTACCCAATTCCCTGTAAGTTAATTTTTTTTAAGAAACTTTAAGTATTTTGTTCTCATAGAACAGGTTTCTTCAGTTCGTAGATTGAGTTACTGAGTGCAAGAGTTGTAATCACGTGGAGGGTAATAAAAACATTAACAATTAATTCAATTAATTAAGGTATTTATTTGAGATAAAAAATCAGTGTCACGAGCGGGATTCGAACCCACGATCTTCGGCTTGATACGCCGCTACTCTACCACTTGAGCTATCATGACTTCGATCTGCTCGGGCACTAACTTCCCATCTCAACCTCACCTTTTTGAATTTTCCCTCCTTTTTGCCATTTGTCAAATATCGTGTAATCGGATTGGATTCTCGGTGACAAATGAAATGGCCACGGAGAGCTTTATTGAAGGTATACTTCATTTTTACTTATTAAATTCACTGGTTTTCACTAGTAGGAAGTTAGTGCCCGAGTAGATCGAAGTCACGATAGCTCAAGTGGTAGAGTAGCGGCGTATCAAGCGAAGGTCGTGGGTTCGAATACCGCGCGTGACACTGACTTTTTTATCTCAACATAAAACCCTAATTAATTGAATGATATTAATTGGTCAAGCGGACCACGAAAACTAGTGAATTAACAATTATTTTTGGGATTATCACTGATACCCCTGACGAGGACAAAGGTAACCTTTTGAGTGTACTGGAGAATGTGTTAAAGTTAGAACTTGAACATTGTATGGTTTATGCAATTCTCTCACTAAGGGAAGTGCACGGAGAGGCACCAACGAAATTCCATTTACCCCTTCACTGCACCACACTGCCCCGAGAAAAAAGGGGTTGTTTTTTCAGTTCTTAAATTGAGCTTGTAAGTGCAAGAGTTATAAACACGTGGGCAGTAATAAAAGTAGTAACAATTCATTTTTGGATTGCCACTGATACCACTGACGACGACAAAGGAAACCCTTTGACCCATGAGACCGGAACCAATTACCAGGTACACTGGAGAATGTGTTAAAAGTTAGAACATGAAAATTGTATGGTTTATGCAATTCTCTCACTAAGGGAAGGGCGCGGAGAGGCACCGAGGAAAGTGCTTTTCGTGGGAAAAGCCAAGACCTTGAAATCCTTTTGCATTTGATAATCATTTCGAGTCATTGCCTGGAGAGACAGGCAGTTACCAAGGCACTAATACTGCATATGGTAGCTCCAAACTAGGAGTATAAACCACACTGGTCATATCATTTTTTTACTTCAGTCTATTCCAGTAACAGTCATTGCCTGGACCGGCAAGGAGCTATAAAGGCATTAATAATGTATATGCTAGCTCCAAACTAGTAGCTCAGTATATCATCCATACAAAAAAGCATACTACATGGTTGACTCCCACGGTAACCGATCATCATTCACGTGAAAACCTATGACCTAAAATACCTTGCATATCCATACATCCAGCAACATTATAACAGATAAATACAGCTATTCGACAATCTTTCACACCAATATATACATACTAAATTATTTACGATTGAAAACATATATGGCTATCACGGTACTCAATATTCCGCGAATGGCCACTTCTCATTCACACCTTACACCAAAAAGTAAATCTAGTGTCGAGGTATTCACTATCGAGCGGAAAGTGTTTATTCAAACTTAGTCAACCACATTCCGGCTAATAAATACATACATAAGACTTGAAATATATGAAGAGGCCATTCAATTAAGGTATATGCATTCACCAGTTTCAGGTATTCAAATAAATTTTCCCGATAATCACTACAACTCATGAAGGCTTTTTCATCTGAGTGTAGGCCATACCCTTATCTGTGGATATTTACAGCACTATAGTCCACTAGTCGGTGATGGACTAACACAGGTTCATTACATTGTGGGCAATGCTGCTCGGCCTCCCATCATGCGTGAGACTAGTGTAGCCTATTATCAACCTTTCCCTTTTGTTCCCAGGCCATGGTTTGACCGAACTTCTTACATTTTTTTTTAAATATTTTAGTCGATTCAGTTCAGTGGCTTTGCCATTCATGATGACTTATATTTTTCTTGATTTAGGTGTCTCCGGTTATGCGAGTTGCTGCCTTGTGCGATTATCATTTCCCAGGGTGCCGACATGTCCTGGGAACCAGCTTGTAGTGGCCACTTGCAAATACTACACGTTACCGCTTGATGCCACAACGACTTATGGAATGTTCTCGCCCTCTATTCTGCAGCCAATCAGAGTAGAGCTCTTCCCTATATAAGCAGGGGCACAGCCCCGCTGGAATCATACTCGTCAGCCGACGAGGTCTCATATCACTAATGGAACACCGTCGACGACAGCAACAGTACTCGCAGCATTAGCCTTCTAAGCAGCCGACTTGGCTATAAATGCCAACTGATGCCCCTCGGCTAAATGCACTCAGTATCTTCGGGCTCTGTGGAGTCAACCGACTCACGGCCCACCGGATCTCAGCCAACGGTTTAATCTGTCACACACCACAACCAACGGCGCCACTCGTACGGTCTCGGCCTCCTACCATCGTCACTGTATCTCTACACAACACCGGCCCTTTCTCAGGGCCATAAAACTCCCAGTCACTAAAAGATAAATGCGTATATCGATATATTTCTGGTTTCTCTTTCTCCATCTCCTTTAGGTGTTAGTTAAGGACCAATGCTGAGAGAGAGAGAGGAGTTCTTTCGTTTTTCTTTTTAGTAAATTATGTATATGCGCTTTTGTCCTGTGCTTCAGTTTTTCTTTCTCCAAACATTTTTCAAGCTCCGACTTCAGCACACTCTCCAGTGTGGCTAGTTGTGGTTCCGGTTCCGTGGGTCAGTTAGCTCTTTTCCTTCTATATTTTTATGTCCGAGAATCCATCAACGTACCTTTGTTATGTTTTCCTAGAGTCCTTATGCAATTTAGGCATTCACAGAAGGGTTTGGAGCCAGCATATGTATTATTTGTGTTTTTAAAGCTGCCTGACTCTCCAGTACAACAGAGCAACAAGACAACAGAACTAATTACCAATTTCGAAACAAAAGGGATGACAATATTCAAAATAGGGGGTCGGTGGACGAAACGTTTAGGCGTTGACACGGCGTTCATCACTGTAAGGTAAAGGTCTCGGGTTCGAATCCAGCGGCCCTGCATTCGAACCAGACATACTTACAAATGGGGTTTTTTTTCAAAAACACCGGTACACCGAGGGTTGATATAACCTCTGCTGTTGCGAACCCTCATTAAAATTTAAAAAAAATAAAAATAAAAAATATTCAAAATGTTAATGTCAGTGTGTTTTAACCCATTAGTGAAAATACAATCGGATTTTAATGTTTNAATTTTGCGAGTCAAATATTTATTTTTGTGATAGGAACCATGGTGCAAATTGGGGGTTTATTAAATAATTAAATTATTTTTGCAAGTATATATTTTTTATTCACTACAGTCTAAATGTTAAATATAGTACACTTACCCTGCTGAATCTTTTCATTTAAGCAAAAACAGTATCATTTAATAAATTGTTAGGAAAATATAATAAAGGCACAAATGAAATTCAAATTTTGAAAAATAGATGTTACAAAACATTTCTGTGCTTTTCAAAATTAATTTTGTCATCAGATTAATGTCTACTACTGTTTATTTTAATTAATTTATCACATTTAGTCATTTTAATTATTAATGAATAAGATAATTAAATTGTAGATTTGTTCTCTTGGTCTTGGAGATTTTGCTTTTAAATAATTAGCAGTACTTATTCAAAATTGCAGTACCAGAAAATAATGTTGTAAAACACATCTAATCATATGCTGAAATTGCAATTTGAAACCTGTAAAACACCTACACATATAATTTTTTTTTCTTTGAAAAACTGATTTTTTTTCAAATGTGAAACATCAATAGTTTTTTCAACTTCAAACATGTTGCATTATCACAATCATTTATGAAAATTATTGCTACTAAATTTTGCCCGATTATTTTGACTGTTGCGTCTTTGAAAAGCTCAGTGCAGTTCGAAGCTTATTTCTGACACGAGGTGATGTCCATTTGTTACCAGCTACTAAGCTAATTTGCAATTCTTTCGGTGAAACGCCTTCGTCGACTTCATCGGCTTCAGTTTTTATTTCCATTTTCTTAAACCAAATACATAAAACATTAGTAGCTCCTCATACAGTGATTTATATGAAATTGTCATTACTTACTTGCACAATTAATTTCAAAAGTTGGCCCTGTGTATCGAGGGTTTTTGATATATCTTTAAGCTTTCTTTTCATTTTACTCATCTCTTCTGATACGAAATCCTCGTTATTTTCTAAAACCATTTCTAGACCTAGTAACAATATCTTTTTAGTAAATATGAGCTAATCATTGTACGAGGAAGCATTATTGTTTGCTAAGCAGGATAAACCGTTCAACGCCATTAAAAATCACAGTAATTTATTTAATTAACAAATCAAAATTTAGCTAATAATTATAAATGATATAGTTTATAACGGGACTTACTACAGACCTGCAAACACTGATTTCAATAAAACATTTTCTCTTACTTAATTTACTTGAATTAGCAGTATGGTTTAATGTGTAGAGATTAGTGACCGTTAATCGATAGTAATTCAGATATCGTGAGATGCGGTCGGGTGTGATGTAGCTTTCAGAAAACCATTTTGGCACGATAAAGAAAATGTTTTTCTGAAACCTACATCACACCCGACCGCATCTGAATTAGTATGGTTTAATGTGATCTTGCATATTATTTTCTTATCGTAGACAAAAATGAAAAAGTACTAAATTTTATCAGCTTCTATTAATTATATAAATACTTAATTAATTATACACAATTTTTTTCGAAATGAAAAATTTGTGTCACAGGCGGGATTCGAACCCACGACTTTCGGCTCAATACGCCGCTGCTCTACCACTTGAGCTACCGTGACTTCGATCGCCCATGCAAACAAACTTCTCATTTCGACTACCCGATTTTATTCTAATTATAAGCAAATCGCGGCTTCATATAGAAACACTTTATATTAACCATTATACTAGATTAGCGGGACTGTGTACGATTTCACAGGTGTGATTCTAGATTTATACTAAATTTTATCAGCTTCTATTAATTATATAAATACTCAATTAATTATACACAATTTTTCATTTCGCAAAAAATTGTGTATAATTAATTGATTATTTATATAAAAAAGAAAAAGAATTGGCAGACGAAAATGAACAAACCAAAGCTTTTCAATGCGAAAACAAATATATATATTTAGTTATTTTTAAAATGTTAATATCTAATTTTTAATTTTAATTGTATTTAATTTTTTATGGTATTCTAAGAACTCAATTATTTTGTCTTTAACAAAAACTTCGCAAACATGCAGGGATTTTATTTTACATGCTTATATTTTATACCATCTCCTTAACAGTTGTAATACTTTAAACTTTAAAGGAAGGCTTAATATGAAATTTGAAGTTAAAAAGAGTTAATTTGAAATGAACTTTTTCGCATAAATTTACCTTTTTCTAACTTCAAATTAACCTTTTATAATTTCTTATTAAGCTTTTTTAACTTCTAATTAACCATTAATTTTAACATGTGGTGATTAGTGACCGTTAGTCGATAATTATTCAGAAATCATGAGATGCGGTCTGGTGTGATGTAGGTTTCAGAAAAACATTTTCTTTATCGTGCCAACGTTTCGATCTTTATTCAGATCATCTTCAGGGCCTGGGATTTACAAACATAATTTTGTAATTATGGTAATTAATAATAGTTTGTAAATCCCAGGCCCTGAAGATGATCTCAATAAAGATCGAAACGTTGGCACGATAAAGAAATGTTTTTCTCAAACCTACATCACACCAGACCGCATCTCACGATTTCTGAATAATTAATTTTAATTTGAAATGTACCTTTTTGTATAATGTTAACCCGTTTTAATTTCATATTAAGTCTTCAAAATAATCAAAAACCTTAGAAGATCGTATGAAAATTAGACATAATTAAAATTCTTCTTCTTTATGTTAAGATGTTTTAAAATATTAAATAATTGGGCTCTAAAAATTATTTGAAAATTTATTAAAAAGAAAGGGTTAATTTAAAATTTGAAATAAAAAAATTAATATTTAGTGTATAGTGCACTCACAACCGTAACACATCTACTCAGAAAACACACACTTTGAGCCCCGAAGATGATCTCAATAAAGATCGAAACATTGGCACGATAAAGAAAATGTTGTTCTACACCTACTTCACTCAAGACCGCATCTCACGACCTCTAAATAAAAATAATTAATTTGAAATAAAAGTTAATTCAAAATTAAAAAGGGTTAATTTGAATTTGAAAAAAGGTTAATTTGGTGCAAAATCTCTTATATCTGGATCCCCCAATAAGATCCCAATATCTGTATAAGAGAGTAAAGCAACATATCTATGATTGCAAAAAACCCAAGCAAAATCCTACAGCACTCGCTACCCACCATTTTGAACACAAACACAATTTCGACTTCAACAATCCAAAAATATTACAAATAGAACAAAACAAACATAAACGTAACTTTTTAGAAATTATTTAAATCAACAGAGATAAACACAGCATCAATTACAGAACAGACACATGTAAACTCAGACGCAGATACGCCAGTATAATTAATCAAATTCAATATAGATAATATACATATATCATCATCACACAAAACATATAATATAACATATAAAACATTCATTCCACACATTAAACATAGTCTAATTTTTCAACAATTTAGCTTTCCTTTTCCTATCCCCGTCAATATAATCCTGAAAGGATAATCAGGCCGAACCATTACCAACGTTTTTTTCCCCTTTGTCGGCTCTTTTCACCTCGAAGACTCCGACTCCTTAAACAAAAATGTATTTTCTATACCGACTTCCTTTCCCCCCTTCAAATTCCAATGTATATAAACATAAAACAGCAAAATCTCACAGGCACTCTCAACACGACGCAAGAATGGCACACTTACGCAGAAAACAAATACTTTGAGTGAGTAGAAATACTTTGATTGAATATAAAAAATATTTTTTTGCATTGTATAAATTCACTTTTTTCCACATCCTACATGTATTTGTTAAATTTAAACATTTTGTATGCTTTGTAAATCCCAGGCACTAAAGATGATCTCAATAAAGGTCGAAACGTTGGCACAATAAGAAAATGTTTTTCTGAAACCTACATCATAACAGACCGCATCTCTCGATTTCCGAATAATCATCGACTAACGGTCACTAATCACCACACATTTATAAAATGTTTTACACAGTTTTCGTTTTCGACGTGTCTGTATTTTTTCTATAATAACATAAATGACATAACTTTGAAGTGATAGGAAACTTTACAGGCATTTTCAAGTTATAAACTTTATGTAACGGCACAATTTAGGCATTCATAAATAAATAAGAACCGGAAATCAAAGATAAATTGTTTTGTGTGATTTCAACCTTACGCCCCTTGGCAAGAATGTCTAATATTTGTCGACCTAGTATCACACAAAATTTTTTAATTAAAATTGCTGATTCTAAGTCTCAGAATCTTCAAATTGTTAAACAGTAGGTTTTGAATACATTAAAACTATTTGTTAAATAAATTTTTTTTTGTGGCTTGTTTCATTTATAGACTGCATTTTAAAGTGAGAAGGGTATGGTTTTATGGCTTTTACATGTATATTTCAGTAATATTCTTTTAATTATCGTGTCTCCAGTATACAGACTAATTTCTTTTGGTGTTTTTGGTGAAATTGATCCTCAATCGTAACTTTAACTTTTATATTATTTATTTAGTGTTTAGAAAACGAAGAAGAAGAAAGGTGCAAGTTTGATTGATGCATAGCAGTGAATAGCATTAAATAAAATAATGTTTTTACCATCTTCAGAAAATGGATTGCAAAGCCACATCCGAAGGAATAAATCCAGAAACCCTAGTTTTCCTTTACATTCATTCGGATATTCAATCAACTCCATTTTGTCGACTTTTTCTAGGAGGACTTGAGGAAGTTTTCTTTCTAGCTCGGTATGTAAAACAACCTTTAAAAATAAACGAACACAATATTTTTTGATTAGCTGTTTGTCTTTTTCTAACAATAAACAAAAATTAAAACAAAAAACAGTTAGTGTGAAGAAGCTACTAATTGGTAGCGTTCCAAATTACATTGCACTACGTTTCACTTTCACTACCTTCACTAGACATGAGACATATCGCTGGGTCATTGCCTTTTTAGCATAGCAAGGCAAGTTTGAAGCATTCGGTGATGAGAGGTATTGGATGAATGGATTAATGTTGACTGGGAATGATTTATTGAACTTGCAATATCTGGAGAGGCTGTGTCAAGGTCATTGTGGTTCGTTCAGTGGATACTTAGCAAGAAGCATTTACGATTTTTCCCAGGATTTTGGATTGGGATGTTTATTATTCGTTATATACTTGGCAGAACTTTAAAGTTCCAGACCTTAAGTCCTGATCGGTTTAAGAATACTATTCCATTTACATTAGTCATTTGTTAGGTAGTGGGAGTATTTTTACGTCTGATAAGTTATAGTCTTTTAAGTCGCTTGTTGAGGTGCATCACCTTGCTCATGATTTGCGGTAGGAAGGAGGATGTTATTAAAGTAGAGCAGGTTCGTTAACAGAGTGAAAGTAATCCTTATTGATTTGTTGATGTTTTAGTTTAATTCTCTAAGCTGAGCACTGCTTTGTTAAATGAAGATGTTGCTGTAGGCTTTGGGAAAGGAAGAGGGAGACAAATAAATTATTGACATGAGAAAAATGTAAGAATAGAAGTGTCAGAGTGTGTAGGGATATCAGCTGTATATATATCTGAAAAGCACCTAGTGGGACACCAGCTTACAGTAGGTATAAGCACCAGGTTGGGGTTAAGCCTAGTACGCACTCGGATTTTTACGAGCCTGCGAAAACGACGGAGGAATTGCTCTTTTTTGCATTGTACGTAGTGAATCCAATCGGAGGTGCATTAAAAACGCCCAAAAAGATGGTGGGTTCCACAAATATTTCACGGCGGGAATCAGCACGGGAAAAATCTTTTGGATACGTTGCGATTAAATGATAGGTTGAGGAATTTTTTGAGGATGTCCCCGACCGATTTCGAAATCATTTTAATGAAAGTTGGCGGTAAAATTTCCAAGAAAGATACCGACTTTCGGGAATCTATCTCTCCGGCCAACCGATTAGCTGCCACACTCCGGTTCCTAGCGATTGGAGACTCGTAAACAAGCCTCATGTACCTTCAGGATTTCAAAACAATCAATATCAGATTTCGTGCCAGAAGTGTGCGAAGCCATCATTCATCGTTTGAGAGAATACATCAAGGTAAGTAAAGAATTGCAAGCAAATAATCAAATATTTTTATGTTTTGAAATTATATATTGCTGTAGGTAAGTAATAAAAGTGTAGATAAAAAGGTAAAAATATAACCCAATAATAAACCAAATTAACCCAAATCACAAAGAACCAAGTATGTTTCGAAATAACATATTGAAAACTTTAGGTTAGACACTGTCAAAATCTTCAAGAAAACACTACAACGTCAACTAAATAAATGAAGCAAGAGCGCTTGTTCCGTTTCACGTCCGCACTGGCAAATGTTGCGCAACATTGAGTCAAAGAATTCCATATGGGATGGGATTCAAAAGAGTCCGAAAATTCCAGCCCGCAACACACCAGATTCACGCAATAATGAGTCGGGGCAGCCCGGACAAAGGTTAGAGGCAGCCGAGACTCTCCGGAGATTCAGAGTAGACTCAAAGAATCCCAGTGCGTACTAGAAATAAAGAAAGAGATGTTCCCTTACTAATATAGGGTCAGTTAACAGGCTGATCGTAGGGTGCCCTTGAGCAGCTAAAGCAACAGGATGACATACCCGATCAAAGGCCTGAGTGACACTGAGGATTGCTTTAGAACAGTACTAACAGGTAAGAAGAGATGTCTACAAGTTGACACTGTAGTATAATGTAAAGGTGGCTGCGGAATCCCGAATTTCGGTAGTTTTAATAGGTATGATTTATTTTAGAAGGAGCCACACTAAGATTTTCCCCTAGGGCTGGGAATAAGGTTCTAAAGAAAGTAGGGAGATGTTCTGGTTGTTATTGTTTGTGTATCATACAGTGGAAGTAAGTTGTGATGAGAACTGAATTTAAGAGGTTTTCGTATTTATATGAAGAGGTGATAGATAATATTGCTTTCTTGGGGAAATATTTAAAGACGTAAAATGAAATGAGATCAAAACCAAGAGCCATCATGGGTCTGAGATGTTGTATAGCATGCCAAACGTCTGTAGTACCTATACATCTTTAAATTGATTATTAAAAAAATATTCTACAAATTACCTGCATAGCTAATCTTTTTAGTTGTGCGTTTCTCTTTATATATACATTACGCAGGGTGGGCGACCAAGACCCGAGTGGTTAAATGCCTGGGTAGACTCGTACCCCGTCCCTAAAAGGTCCGGAACGGTCGCCTCACGAGTCCTGCATAAACCTCTTGGACTTGTTCACAAACCCCAAGATTTTGGTCCATTTTATCTTGGGGAGTGATTTGGCAATGTCCACTCCTTCAAAAGTTTCAAATCTAAGCCTGGCATACCTATCACACTCTGCGAGGTAGTGCCGTGCCGTTTCTTCTTTTATTTCACAGAAGCGGCAAAAGGGGTCTGGTAAAATACCCATTATGAAGAGGTATCTTCTCAAGGTGCAATGGCCCGTCAGGATACCTATCAGCCTCCTAATTCCCCTCCTTGAGTTAGAGAATAGCCATTTCGATTCTTTTGGTACGATTTCCTACAAAAACTCTTTCGATTGCCTATGTACGGGGGACAGATTCCATTCTTTACGGAATTGTTTCATGCCCCAGCAATTAATACTCTCTTTCGCTGTGCTTATAGAGTGGGGTAATACCGTATAATAATATTGGCCCAAACGCAGTATTTGAGCCTTCTTTGGCCAGGCTATCCGCCTCTTCATTGACATAGTGTCCCTTATGAGCTCGTATCCATATGAGGGTTACCCTATTCTCGCACCTGGTAGTAATCCTATTAATAAGTTCAACAGTTTCCTCCACCAGCCTAGATGTTGATAGCACTTTTTGTAATGACTTAAGACTGGCCTGACTGTCGAAAAAATTCTAATGTCTTTTCCCTTGATCTTGTTATCCATAAGTGTTCTGCAGCAAACATTAATGGTCCAGATTTCCGCCTGAAAAACGGAGGTGTTATTACCAAGAGAGGAGGAGATGCTGATCCCTAATTTAGATATATGTATTCCAGCACCGCTTCCCTTGCCTTTAATGAGTTATCCATCGGTAAAGCAGTCTAGGCTATGATGGTCATCATCCGTACCATAGTTATATTCACATGGAGTAACTACCTGAAAGTACTTTTTCCCCGAAGGGGTTTTAACCTTTTTATCGCTAACGCTTAATAGTTGGCTGTTGACCTTACTCAATAATTGTAGAATTTTCGAGTGACCTATGTTGTTTCCCTTATGGTTCCAACTGCCTTCACTAATTAATCTATAGCAGCTGGTTAGTGCTCTAACCTTAACCTCTATGTGTAGAGGTGTAGTGTTGGTTATAATCTCAAGTGCTAGGGTGGGTGTAGTGGAAAATGCTCCCGTCATCATCAAACAGCCTAGTCTTTGAAATGACCTTGGTGGGGAGATGTTCTGGTTGTTATTGTTTGTGTACCATACAGTGGAATGTTTCCAGGAAGCAGGAACGCAACTCTCAAGTTGTGATGAGAATTGAATTTAAGAGGTTTTCATATCTATATGAAGAGGTGATAGATAATATTGCTTTCTTGGGGAAATATTTAAAGACGTAAAATGAAATGAGATCAAAACCAAGAGCCATCATGGGTCTGAGATGTATATAGCATGCCAAACGTCTGTAGTACTTATACATCTTTAGATTATATTAAAAAAATTTACAAGTTACCTGCATAGCTAATCTTTTTAGTTGTGCATTTCTCCTTACACTTTCGATATCTCCAACTGCCAAACCAATGAGGAGGTTCATTAGTAAAATCGGCATCAGAACCATGAATAGTCCCAAAATAAAAAACGCTGTAAACGGAGATGGTAGAGTCGGGCCTTCTTCGTTGCGAAGTAGGGGATGGACGTAAGTCCCAAGGAAGTCAATCTCTCCAAGCATCATTGAAAATGTTCTCATTAGGGACATACTAATAAATGAAAATGAAAGATGGTCCCCCTAAAATAAACAACATATGGGTTTTAACCATATTAAACATAAAAAAAGGAAATAGTTTGATTATTTACCTTAGAAAGTAGTATGTAAAACGACAAACCAAATGCTATTATTAATATAGAAAACACAACTAGCACTTTTATCAGTGTCTGTAGAATCTCCAAAAACATAACAACATAAATTCCAACTAGGTCAAACCTTGAAAATAAATTTTAAAAAATTTAGTTTTTGTCGGCATTTTTTTTATCTGGAAGTTAAGCTTACCTTTGAAGATTTAGCAGCAAAGTGAACCAACTAAGAAATACAGTGATAGATGCATAAGAAACTTGCATGTCATCGTTAACTCCGGTGAACAATGGTAGCACCATTAGTAGTGCGGTGATGTAAAGGACCCAAGAAACTAGATTTGTAGGATCTAACATGTACTGCCAACGTTGTTGAAATAGTTGAACTAATTCTCTCAAAGTACTGAAGAATATGTATATAAGGATCATCGATGCACTTAAATATCCTGCTGTTGTTGCATTGTGCGAGTTAAACGTAGAAAACTGTGAATAATTTATCTGAAAAAGCGTTTTAAATTAAAAAAACTCTTTTTGATATAAAACACCGAGAAAACGCTTACGACAGTAGTGTTGTCAGCGTTGGGTACGGGGATGGTTTTGAGTTCTATCTTTTCCATTAGTTGCGATGAAAACAAAGTGACAAACATTAAAAACACTAAGTAAATTAGTAAGTAAGCAAGATGAAAGTATTTTCCGTATGAATTCCATTTCATCTGCAAATATTTTTGACTAAGTGGATGTGCAAGCAGTTCCACTCTTCCATGCTGCACCATCGCCTTAAAATAACAAACAAATAAATTAATTTTACAATTGAGGGAATTTTTATAAACGCATTTGCATTTTTCAGGGCTTTTGTCGACTAAAAAATACAAACACTTTTAATATTTAGTTTTAAATACTTTCGATTTTAGTGGTAAAAATAGTTTAGACAGTGATTGATGTCTTTTGCATAGTACAGTTTTTTTATTTGATTAAGAATATATTGTTAAATATTTAAGTGTTTATATAAAAACATGGCTGTAAAGAATTTTGTATTGCCATTAACAAAAAGAAAATACATTGCTGATTTGCTACAATAACAAAATTTGTTTCTGTAAGAAGATAACATTGCATATTACTATAATAATTATACTTAAAATGTAATTAAAACATTTAAAAATATAGTAAAAGTGCAGGTTAAAAAAAATTAGATCACCGAAACATTTTTTTGGTTGACACTAGATCGAAAAGTAGACGTGTTTCTGAAAGTTATTACTTATGGACCATAGGAGACAAGAATTTTTTTTTTGAGCTAATTAAAGAAAATTTGTTCTAAAACATGGTTTTCTGCCTTTATTGTGCATGTATTTAAAGGATACTATATGAATTATTATTTATGAATAATGTTTCTTTATTAGACTGGACCTATATTTTTGGGGAGACCACTATCCTTCAAAAAAATCCCTAACCATCACTAAACTTGTCTGAGTCCAACTTAACCACCTGATGTACTTCGAGAGCTCGTAGACGATGTCGTCGGTTTTTTTTTTTTTTTTCCTGATTCTGCAAATGTTAATAGGATGCTGCCCTGATGATGGCCTTATAAAGGCCGAAAACTAGGCAAGTTTTCACAGTCGACTTCTTTCTCTACCTGACCAGAAACCGACCCCAAACACGTTAAATTCTATAAACCAATAAAAATAAGATATAATAGACCTCTTAAATATATGCCTACTATCTAATTATTGTAAATTTAACAATAAATTTTATGAAATGAAAGGTTTACCAATGTGGTTTCCATAATCCCCACTTTATGCCGAAATATTCGCGGATAACTTTGAACAGATTCATTTAAGATTCACTAATTTCGTGGTCCGCTTGACCAATTAATACTTTACAATTAATTAAGGTTTTTAGTCGAGATGAAAAAAAGGGTTAATGGCACGAGAGGGATTCGAACCCAGGACCTTCGGCTAGATACGCCGCTGCTCTACCACCTGAGCTATCGTGACCTCTATCCACTCGGACATCAACTCCCCATCTCAACCCCACCTTATGAGTTTTCCCTCCTTTTGCTATTTTTCATCTCGACTAAAAACCTTCATTTAAAATGAAATAACATATAACTTAAATCTGTCCTTGTTTTGGAAACGATATGTAGACGATATTTTATGTATGATCGGGAACACTGGAAGTTCTAAAAGAATTCCTCCAATTAATTCTTTTCACCTTAGTATAAATTTTACATTGAAAATAATAAAGAAGGTTGTTTATACTTTTTAGTCCATAATAAATAACCTAATTGAAATAGGCATACGTAGAAAACACACCAAACAGACACCATGATACCAGTAGATTCACCCACGGACCCAAAAAGCTGCTGGATTTGTCATTTGTCTCATAGACCGTATGTTGAGAGTCCGGTTAACACCTGCTAATATTTAAAAAAAAATAAAACCTTGGCTAAAAACAATGGACATCAAGAAATATTTGTCGATAGGTTACTAGTAAAAATAATATAAAAAATTACTTTAAAATAAGGAACAACTGGACTCAGCCATCGCACTAAAAAAAACCTTTAGGTTTTCGCTGCTTGCCATAAATTGGGAAACTATCACAAAAAATAGGTAAAATTCTTAAACAAGGTTTGAGAACAGCTTTTCGAAGTTCACTTAGAAACTCTCAAAACTTAGGACAAGGTAGACAATTTGGCAAAGAGCGGGGCTTACCAACAAAATTGTAATGCTTGCTATATTAAATATATAAGAGAAATTCGAACGACAGTAAAAAAACAATTGCCTATATCGACCAAAACACAATTTCAATTTTAATTTAAATCCAACAGTGTTACACTACTACATTGACTTGAGAAATGTCCAATAAAAAAATGTAAAATTAAAAATGGACAAAATTGCTTAAATAATATAATAGGTTTTGATTTCCATCCTATTTTAAAAATGTACCTAAATTATATTTGACATACAAATAAATCACTAATTTAAAATTATTTTCTTAAAGTATTTATTAGGGTAATAGTTAATTCGCGTTTTTCGACATTCCAAATTGTGCAGTACCAAAAACCAGCTACTCATTGGTACTTGGCATTGGAGTTTTTTTCCAATTTCGAAAACACGCGCGTTGTGCCAAAATTTCAAGACAGTCAACCAGCTACTTTTGAGTTTGGGAGCACTCACATACGAAGGCTAAATGTGTGTATATTTTTTAAACGCAGGAATCTGAGTGCAGGGCAAGTTCCAGCAAGCCACGAACCAATTCACCTGGGTTTTCTTTTCATCACCATATCTCAGGTTCCACTCAAGATTGGCTTCTTTGATTTGAAACATAAATTAAGCTGAGGTCGCTTAGGACATTGCATGTGTATCTCAAAGAGCAACCCTAAGTCTGGAACGTTTTTCTTATCTTATGAGTTCTCTACCTTCCCTTCACTCACCTCTCCTGAGCAAACGTTGTCCCTTTGTTTTTCTCCCCATTCAGAAATTGGCAATGAGTTAACCAAAAAAAATAAAAGAACTTTGTTGCTCATAAATGTAGGAGTGAAGTGAAGTTGGCCACAATTATACCCACTACTTTGATAGGATGACTTTTTTGGGGAGGATTCTGGAATTTTTATCTTTTCTTTTGAGGTCTCTCAGGTGATTTAATAAAAAAAGAACGAACTTGGCCACAGTGTAGATATCATTAAATTGCTAGGCCAATTTCTTTGGAGGGGGTCTGGAACTTCGCCCTTTTTTTCACGGTTAGGTTTTTGTTGACATTTTACTTTAAGTGCTTTCATTTCATACCAACTCATAAGTTAATTTTGAGTTAAAGTAGGTTAATTTCAACTTGACAAGAGTTAATTAGAATTATAAAACGGTTAATTTGCATTTAAAATGGTTAATGTGGAATTAAAAATGGTTAGTATGATGTAAAAATGTTTAGTTTGAAATTAACCATTTTTCCCGATTTGCGATGGTGTGTAATCAAGGAATAATTCTTTGGTTTGGCTTTGTGTCTATACATGGTAAAGAGAGTCAAACCCAAACCAAAAAATTAACAATTTTTTAGTTCAAAATAACCTTTTTTTAATAATTTGACGTATAATTTGATAGAAAAAAGCTATATATTTCAATATGCTGCTTGAATTTACTCGCCCAATTATTGATATTTTTTGTTTTTGCAAAGTAAGTTAAACAATATTTAGTTAAAACTAATAAATTTCTTTTTGCAAGAAATAGTTAATCGGCATTTTTCACACTTAAAAAACAAACAAAAAAAAAACAATCTTTTATCGAAGTAACTTGAAATATGTATATGCTAAATAATGTAGTAGACCGCAGTCGTCCGACTCGTATTGCCATGTTTGCGGTACTGAGCTCAAATCCCAACATAACCCACGTTTTTTTAAATTGTGAATAATAGGGAGAAATATTATTGTTCTGTTGTAAAGTATTTGACCACGATAGCCAACGAGTAGTTGGGCGTTAAGCCCTTCTATATGAAAAGAATTACATTACTTATTTTTGCTTTTTTTATATGCACAACGAAGCCAGAAGTAAATTTAAATTACTTAAAATAGTTTTTTTGTAGGCTCAAATTGGTAAGAAGTAGTCTAGCATTTTTCGGTCTAGTTTCACCAAGGAAAGTTTAATTGAAATCCGTGATCCCACTTTCATTGTGTTAACTACCTTGTTAGTGAGTTGAGGACTGTTAAAGGCAATACTCACGTTTATTACCTGAAGAGGGCTAGGCTTCCACTTTGGGTTTCCAATAAGGGTCCTTTTATCTCTCACAGCTTTCGCCGAAAATTGATAATTTTCAAAAGAATACTTGATCTAAAGACAGTAACAATTCATGCAAACGTCACGTCAACAAACAATTACAGTCTACCAACTCTGTGTTCTCATTGACGGTTAAGCAAGCTGTGCAAAAGAAAATTTGAAGACATGCGAAAAAAAAGATACAAAAACGTCGAGTTTTTCACTTACATTCAAAGCTGGAAGAGGGATTGGGTTGGACTGGGAGTAAGAATCGCCACTCTTGCTGTCCATAGGAGAGTTGATAATTGCACATTGAAGACAAGTGAAACTGTACTTGATCTGCATAAAAAGAGTGCACGTTTTACATTCAACCAATCAACCCTTGTTTGGTTTTTAAAGATGATGAAGCGAATTTATTAAGATTGCAAAGCAAATGAAATTTATACAATGGTACATCATAATTTCTTTATGTTTTAATATTGTTTTATATTATTATGTATAGGCCCATTATACTTTTATTTTCTTACATTTATAGATACATTTTGATGAGAAGGAGATAAAATTAACAATGCTCTCTCTCTCTCTCTCTCTCTCTCTCTCTCTCTCTTTCTCTCTCTCTCTCTCTCACACACACACACACACACACACACACACACACACTCGCTCACGCACGCACGCACGAAGGCTTGAGCTGCAGCTAATGGTAACTCAAGGGCATGATAGCCTCCAGCGAAGTTCGACTATCCGAGACCGGAGATCCTGCTGTGTTTTGTGGATTTAGTGAATGCCATTTTTATTTTTCTGAACTGGCTGACGGATTCTGACCATGCCTTAAGGTGTTTAGTCGTATTTTTGTTACTTTTTTGTAAAACGTTTAATAAACACCTTTATCTAACTATCTACATTGAGAGGCAAAAAAGTGGCACCCTTTGCAATCGTTATAACTTTTATTTTTTGTTGTTTACTGGTTTAAAAAAAAAGATATGGCTAAATAAAAAAAATAAACTGAGTAAAACAATTTTACCAAAAATGTCGCTAGAGAATCAATTCAGTACGGAGTATTTCCTCCTCTTGTGATGAACACCGATTGCATTCGTCGTGGCATCAATTGCGAAGTTTTGAAAATAGTGCTGTCGAATATTTGTAGAATCTTCCAACAGCTCCTTTCCTGCAAATTTTCTAGCATGGCTGGTCGACTTTTTCCCTGACAACTCATCCCGAAGGGCTTAAGTCCGGACTACATGCTGGCCACTCCAAACATTGAACTGAAGCTCGTTCCAAGTAGTCAGCAGTCACGAACGATCCTAGCTGTGTGGGGCCTTGAATTGTCATTCATAAAAAAAACCGTCGTCAATTAGTGGTAATAAGGAACCACTTCTTCTGATAATACATCTTCAAAATAAGAGAGCTATCGAAGAAGATCAAGTTTGTGCGACCTAACACCTGCTCAAACCAAAAACTCCACCACCTCCATAGCTTCTCCGAGTGAAAATGTTGCGGGGATTTATCGCTCTCCTCTTCTTCCCCAAACCCTCTCTCGGCCGTCAATACACCTCAAAGAAAACCTTCCCTCATCCAGAAACAGTCCAGCTTTGCTCAGGCCAATTCATCAGATTTTTCGTGAAATCTAACTGTTCTGTGCCTTGTGAGAAGTTATGGACGAGGCCTTCTCACACGTAAACCAGCTTCTGCCTTACAGCGCGTAAACTGACATTGACATGTCTAACTTGTTGAAGTCGCTGCTTGATCTCAACAGCGATAGAATATCTATTAGGGAGAACATTCAAAACAATAAAACAATCATCACTCCGAGATGTGTCGCGATGGCGACCTGATCCCTGCCTCCTTGAGCATTCTCCAGTATCTTGAGCTTCTGAATTCGGACAGTAGTTCTGGGAATGTTAAGCACCCTGGCCACATACAATCTGCATCACTTAAAATCACCCCTCAAACATACTTGAAACTTAAAAAAAATCAAACCTTGTAACGTTGTAAAGAAGCTTTATATAAAAACCAACAAAGAAGAGATTGACTATTCAAAGATTTATTTACAAAATCCAATTGTAAACACAAGTGGGATATTTTATCTGTGTTTATTTACCTCTAATTAAGTTAAATTTTTTTTACGAGGGTTCGCAACAGCAGAGGTCATATAAACCCTCGGGGTGCCGGTGTTTTTGAAAAAAAGCCTATTTGTATCTAGGGGCGTCGGTGGCCGCCACGGTTTGGGCGTTGACAAGGCGCTCATCACTGTAAGGTAAAGGTCCCGGGTTCGAATCCAGCAGCCCTACATTCGAACCAGACATACTTACAAATGGGCTTTTTTCGAAAACACCGGCACCCTGAGGGTTTATATGACCTCTGCTGTTGCGAACCCTCGTAAAAAAATTTAAAAAATTGTATCTAGGTGGCAGTGGAAAAAAGAATTGGAATCCTTTTTTGACCTCCCCTCCTCAAAAATTGTGAACATATAAATAAACCAAATTCGTATGTGTCTTTAAGGAATTTTGACGATTACAAAAACAAAACAGGTGTGGAGACTACATTTAAACTTTGAGGCTCGGTTTAGGGAAAGGTGACGGAATTAGTAACGTAATTCGTAAACGTAATTCACTCGGTAGAGACAAGCCTTCCATATTTTGAGAAGAAAATCGAAATTTGAACTTTGTAAAGTTCAGTCTGCAAAAAACGATACCTGATTCCAGACGGCTGACCAATACCCCAGGACATAAGTTACCTCGAGGAATTCCTAGCCAAATTTTAAAACTTGGCAGAGTGCGCCGGATTTTATGTTGGAGAAAAAACTAAGTGAAGTACTTGTAAGTAACCAGATATAAAAAGCCAGGGGAGCTATTTCCAAAAGTGGGCTTAAATCCTGTGGCAAAATATGTAGCTTGTAGTTAATACACATTCTTTATTTTGAAGTTATGACAAGCAGGGCCGCTGGATTCGAACCCAGGACCTTTACTTTACAGTGATGAGCGCCGTGTCAACGCCTAAACCGTTGCGGCCAGCGTCGCCCCTTCCAAATATTGGTGTAGGATAACCAATAAAGGATTGTCTTATAGATAATTAAAAATATTAAAAGTGCCCGCTTTTTGCCTCAGTGTATTTTTCTGAATAATTAAAAACTTTAAAGTCTGGAAAACCTTTTGTATTTCAAATTGAGTTTGATTTTTTTTAAAACTTATTATTGCTATTTATATTATCTCGTTTATTCGTTAAAACTATTGTATTCAAAACTATTAATCGGTATTATACATGTAATAATATAATTCTCTCTCTCTCTCTCTATCTCTCTCTCTCTCTCTCTCTCTCTCTTTCATTCTTTCTCACTCTCTCTCTTTCTCTCTTGCTCTCTCTCACTTTCCCTTTCTCTCTTGCTCTCTCTCCCTTTCTCACTCTCTCACTTTCTCTCTCTCTCTTTCTTTCTTTCTCACTCTCTCTCACTTTCCCTTTCTCTCTTGCTCTCTCTCACTTTCTCTTTCGCTCGCTCTCTCTCTTTCTTTCTTTCTCACTCTCTCTCTTTCTCTCTTGCTCTCTCTCACTTTCTCTCTTGCTCTCTCTCACTTTCTCTTTCTCTCTTGCTCTCTCTCACTTTCTCTCTCTCTCACTTTCTCTTTCTCTCTCTCTCTTTCTCTCTTGCTCTCTCTCTCACTTTCTCTCTCTCTCTTTCTTTCTCACTCTCTCACTTTCCCTTTCTCTCTTGCTCTCTCTCACTTTCTCTCTCGCTCTCTCTCTCTCTCTCTTTCTTTCTTTCTCTCTCTCACTTTCTCTCTTGCTCTCTCTCTCTCTCGCTTTCTCTTTCTCTCTTGCTCTCTCTCACTTTCTCTCTCTCTCTTTCTTTCTCACTCTCTCACTTTCCCTTTCTCTCTTGCTCTCTCTCACTTTCTCTCTCGCTCTCTCTCTCTCTCTTTCTTTCTTTCTCTCTCTCTCTTTCTCTCTTGCTCTCTCTCTCTCACTTTCTCTTTCTCTCTTGCTCTCTCTCACTTTCTCTCTCTCTCTCACTTTCTCTTTCTCTCTCTCTTTCTCTCTTGCTCTCTCTCTCACTTTCTCTCTCTCTTTCTTTCTTTCTCACTCTCTCACTTTCCCTTTCTCTCTTGCTCTCTCCCAATTTCTCTCTCGCTCTCTCTCTCTCTCTCTTTCTTTCTTTCTCTCTCTCTCTTTCTCTCTTGCTCTCTCTCACTTTCTCTTTCTCTCTTGCTCTCTCTCACTTTCTCTCTCTCTCACTTTCTCTTTCTCTCTCTCTTTCTCTCTTGCTCTCTCTCACTTTCTCTTTCTCTCTTGCTCTCTCTCTCACTTTCTCTCTCTCTCTTTCTTTCTCACTCTCTCACTTTCCTTTTCTCTCTTGCTCTCTCTCACTTTCTCTCTCGCTCTCTCTCTCTCGCTCTCTCTCTCTCTCTCTCTCTCTCTCTCTCTCTCTCTCTCTTTCTCTATTCGTCTATTACCTTTTATCATATCTTAGCAAACAATTAACTATATGAAACATGCCTTATTAAAACAGATTTTGGATAAATTAGAAGGTTAACATTTCAAAACTGTCATAATCATAATGGTCTATGACCATATTGCGTTTGTTTAAAAGATGACTGTGCAGAAGAATTATGTTTAGTTACTAATTAAATTTTCTGTGTATGTACAATCAACGCTTAAAGAAAGTGGGTTACAGAAGAATCTCATGTCAGTAAGCATTAGCTTGTTTAATATTTTTGTTGTTATTGGTAGACTGCAGTTAAAAAAATTACTTTTATTAATTTTATTAATTAATTTATTAAAAACTTGTATTATCAGAATCTAGGTTCTGATTATACATAAACTATAGAACAAGAACTACTCCAACCACTACATTTTTCTTTTACCCAACAACTTTTTATCTTTCATAGGTTCAATATATTATAAACAACTTCCCAAAGAGAAAGTTCTTTAATGGATCCTTTAACCTCTAAAATTCATTAGTCGTCTATTTAATAGTTAACAAAGAGGAAGAAGGAATTGCAATTTTGGACAATTTTTTATTATTTTTGCTCTTTATCTATAGTCGAGCATCTTGATATATTGCTTGCTAGTAACTAACTGTGCTAGTAAATATGTATACTTTAATAGTTAAGACTCAAGTAATTGAAATATTGATTTTTTAAATTTTCAAAATCACGCTTTTTGGCCCCATATAGGGAGCGTGTAGGTATGCCAGCCGACATGAGGATTGCACTTTAAAAAGTCTACTTACATAGAAAGACTTTGAATCTTTTTTGCAGTTTGCTTTCGTTATGCATTTGTCTTGAACTGATTCAAATACTCTCGGCATTGATGCTATCAGTGCTAATGTGACACAAGGGTGTTTGTCTGAACGTAGAGCCATAACTTCTGGACCTCTTTAAACAAAAATTATATATTAATTGCGTATAGTTTATGTTGGTTCAGGACTTTACCTTAAATCGTGCGTCACCATGGCCAGCGCAGCTTCAGGAAATTTATAATAAATCGCATAGTCGATCGCGCTCAAGTCGATGTTGTTATAAAGCAGTTTACAATTCATGGACAGAAGGAGGGCTATGGAGTTGGGCTTATTTTCCATCGTAGCCAAATGTAAGGCTGTATTCTACAAGGAAAAAGAAAAAAAATTATGGACTGTTGCGTGTACGTTATTTTTCCGAGTTCTTACGCCGTCTTTGTCGACTTGATCGAGAAGGTGGGAATGAACAGAATGTAGAAGTTCCATTGTTTGCGTATATCCGCTCATAGCGGCTAAGTGAAGAGGATTTCGACCATTGTGATCCCTATGAAGTAACGCCCCTCTGTTCAGCAAAAGAGAAACCACTCTTGTGTGACCTAAAAAAAACCATTATTATTAATCCTTTCAATTAATTAATCTTTTTACGTAAATGATTATTCGGAAATCGTGAGATGCGGTCTGATGTGATGTAGGTTTCATTTTTTCACATTTTCTTTATTGTGCCAACGTTTCGATCTTCATTGAGATCATCTTCAGAGCTCAAAGTGTTTGTTTTCTGCGTAAGTGAGCCATTCTTGCGTGTCGTGTTGAGAGTGCCGTTTTTATGTAATGTTTTGGTTGAATTGAAAAAGTTAGTGCCACGAGTGGGATTCGAACCCACGACCTTCGGCTAAATATGTGGTATATAGCTCAAGTGGTAGAGCAGCGGCGTATTTAGCAGAAGGTCGTAGGTTCGAATCCCACTCGTGGCACTAAATTTTTCAATTCAACCAAAACGTTACATAAAAAGATTAATTATTTGAAAGAAGTAATTTGGTCAATAGACCACTAAATATCATGGATTATTATTTATTTGAAATCAACTTACTGCTTGTAACAGTTTGAAAAAACTATAAATATACTTAATTAAATGATAAATCATTTTTAAATGTATGTTTAAACCAATAAAAACTCGTTGAATATGAGAACATCGTTTTTACCTTACAAAAGATGTTCAAAATTATCTCTAAATTTGTTAAGTAATGACATCTATACTGAACCAAAGCTCATTGATAATATGTTTAATAAACATTTAAACTCTCAACACGACATGCAAGAATGGCACAATTAGACAGAAGACAAACATTTTGAGCCCTGAAGATGATCTCAATAAAGATCGAAACGTTGGCACGATAAAGAAAATGTTTTTCTGAAACCTACACACCAGACCGCATCTCCGCATGACTATGAAAGTTTCATAAATGAAAGATATTTTAAAGTCTAGATCTTCGTCTGTGGATGCTGGTTACTGGATCTTGCACATAGCATTACTTCAGAGAAATAATTGAAGGTACGCTTTTTGGCCCCATATAGAGAGCGTGTAGGAATGCCACTCGACATGGGAATTGCTTGAGTGCGGTAATTTGAATCTCATATTTGGATTTTTGGAGGAAACAGTGGTGTTTGTTATATTGTATTCATACGGAAATGTATTTACTAGCGTGAAGGTTATGTGAGTGTGGTGATGGTGGAACATTTATTGCCCAATCAATGAGGATAAGGGAATGCTAAGAAGCGGGTATTTTCATTCTTAAATTTTTCCGAAGAAAGAGAAACTATTTCATGCAAATAATTAAATTTAAGCTAATTGAACCGCACAATTATTAATATACTAAATTATTTGTTATGATGTATGTATTTTTGTTTAAATAAGATAATTATGTCTCATATTGTATAAGATTTAATCTTGATGTTTGACATTGATTTAATTTTACTTAAAAAAGAAGAGTCGGTAGCTTTGTTTCTTTATGGTATAAGAAATAGTATGGAACATGAATTCATATTGCATTACAAGATTAACTCAAAGTTTAATGTGTTTCTCGTGCAATTCAGTTGCGTGTTGTAATCAGCATATACAATTTTTCCCATACGATTCTCTATGAAGGTAAAATTTCCTCCCATAAGATTTTTTGTTCGTTTATGTTAGACGTTTTAGGTCTGTTTTGAGGGTTTAGCTGAAAAACAGATGCGTAGTGACTTTTGAGTCGTATTTAATATGATTTCTCATTCTTACATATCTGAACGTGAAAGTCCTTTTTCGTTCATAAACGCATGAACATTGTCTGTAAATGTGTTTAAAACAACATCATACAAACTTGTTAAACAATCTAATACTGTGTGAAACTGGTATTTTTTCATTCTTAATGGAACATTAAGAACAGTTTATTATTTTATTTATTAATTTGTTGAAGAAGTGAGAAGTGTTCAGGAATGAAATATTTAAAAAAATACCTTTTTCATTTTTTACCGATGTTTCGACCTTTATTCGGGTCATCTTCAGGGCATGAATAAATAGGAAAACATTTGTTGATTGGAAAAAAATTATAGAATACAGATGTAAATAATACAAATTTTGAACTAAATATTTAATATAAATAAAAAGTGTAGTGCTATTCTTGTGGTGTCATGTTTGCTTCATGTGAAATCCTTGTGAAATGTGAATTTGTATTCCGCTTTTTTTATGGTTGTGACAGGGTGGAAACGCGGTAAATCTAGGAAATTTTCTTTGATAATAGGCGTGAAAGGGGATTTTCTGGATTAGATCTGTAACCCCGAATCACAAACAGAAGAATACAAATTCACGTTTCATAACGATTTCACACGAAACAAACATGACACAAGACTAGCACTAGACTTAATGTGTGTATGAAATACTTAGTTCAAAATTTAAATTTACATTTGTATTGTATTTTTTCCAATCAACGTGTTTTGTAATTCACCCTGAAGATGACCTGAATAAAAGTGGAAGCGTCGGCAAAAAAAAATTAAGCATGCCCTTTTCTAAAATACTTCATTCCTGACCGCTCCTCCTTACTTCAACAAATTATTGAACCGCCGGTCACTAAAGAACATAAATTGTATTTATTCTTGTATTTGCGTTTACCCTAGATTTTGGAGAAAATGTTTCTTTTCCGAACGTAACATTTTATCGAGTAAATGAGGCGGGGTTTGGACATATCTCAGTTTATATGGCTATTCTACTTTGATCGTTTTAGTTCTGTTCATGAATGGAAGAAAACGGCTCGTAGCAAAACCTTTTCTTGTATTCTTTCGACGATGATGAGATTTTATTGATTAGAGTTTTGTGCTACTAAAATGTAATTTTTTTTCTAAAAATCTGTAAGAGATTTTAACAATTTTGTGCCACTATTAAACGATTCTTTTATTTTTTTAATTTATGTTTTTTTACCTTGTTGCGATGCAATGTGTAAAGGTGTGAGCCCTTCACCGTCAGTTTCATTAATGATAAACGACCCTTTCTCCGACTGTAGCAACTGCCTGACAGTATTGTATCTTCCATATCTAAATTAAAAATAAAATTCATTTAAAAAATATAATAAATTATACGCAGAAAACTTTAAAACAAAAGAATGTTTATGATTCAAACAGTAAGGCAGACACCTAATTTAAGCATTATTTATCAATGCCAATTTCATGGGCAACTCTGGGATTGCCCACCATTTTGTAAAGACAAAGGGAACTAGGGAAATAATAGGGAAGAGAGGGAAATAAAATATGAAGTTCGTGTTGTAACTTCTGTCCGTATCGACGTATATCCTTCTTATTTTCCCCATTGTTATTAGATCAGTACAACAAACTAGCGTCGTGGAAAAGATGAAACCAACAATCTGATCTTGGGCTTAAAGCTTAAAAAGGCTTAAACATTTTAAGGTTAACGAGTAAATCTAAAATTATGAAGATTGCACAAAAGACCAATATCTGTCGCGGTGCACCAGGTCATAAAGAGGTCGAGTCGCTGACAACACTGCAGAATCCGGAGGCATGTGTAAGGACTCGGAGCAGCAGAACCAATTTGTGCGGATATGGCCAGGAAGAAGAAGAAACAGCGTAACATGTCCTTTGTCTGTTTGATGGCCTTTGCTAGTAAAAGCCTTAAACTTTATAATAGCTCTCCACTTCTTATTTTTCCTATTTCTATTATACCAAGAATACAACAGATGGCGATGAAAAAACAGAACGTGGACAACATGAAACAACCATCTTCTCTTGGGCTTAGAATTTAAAAAGGTTTAAATATCCATAAGGTTAACGAATAAATCTAAAATATTATGGAGATGCACAATAGTCCAATATCGATCGCGGTGCACCAGGCCAGAAGAAACAGCGGAACATGTCCTTTGTTGGTTTGATTGCCTATGCTGATAAAAGCCTTAAACTGTATGAATAATTACAATTAATTAATGTTTTTAGTTGAGATAAAAAAGTCAATGGCACGAGCGGGATTCGAACCCACGATCTTCGGCTTGATGCGCCGCTGCTCTACCACTTGAGATCGCACCTCTTGAATTTGATTGAGATGGGAGGTTGGTGTCCGAGTGGTTCGAGGTCACGATAGCTCAAGTGGTAGAGCAGCGGCGTATCAAGCCGAAGATCGTGGGTTCGAATCCCGCTCGTGCCATTGACTTTTTTATCGCAACTAAAAACCTTAATTAATTGTAATGTATTAATTGGTCATGCGGACCACGAAATTAGTGAATGTATGAATAATACTAGACAATAATTGAGATTGTACAATAGACCAATAGTGATCGCGGTGCACAAGGTCATAAAGAGGTCGAACGCTGACTGGACATTGTAGACTCCGGAGGCATATACAGGGTGAGTCATTTTTTGACGCGCCATTGGAAAATCAACGTGGGTGCGTTTAAATCTGATTCGTGGCTTATTCCCTTTGATTAATACGGTATTAAAAGAAAGTGAGTCAATTTTCGGTGCACCATAGGAAAATAACGTTGGTGCGTCTAATTATGACTCGGCACATTTTATTTTGTTAGTCTCGTACCAAAAAGCGAGTCACTTTTCGACGCACCATTCGTTACAAATTAGTTTTAGTACGTTGGAAGGAAAATAAACAAACCAATATTATGAAACACAATGTAAAAATTTAAAAATAATTCTTCACAAATTAATTTGATTAAGGTTTAAGAGTATTTTTTCCTGGTAAAGTAAAAAAAATTAAATAAATGTAACAATCTCCTTTTTTATGGTAAAGTAAAAAAATTAAATAAATCTAACAATCTCCTTTGTTAGCAAACGAAAAATAAAGAATTTTTTTTTAATTTTTACATTGTGTTTGAATTATGTTTTAATAATATTGGTTTTGTTTATTTTCCTTCCAACCTACTAAAAATAATTTGTAACGAATGGTGCGTCGAAAAGTGACTAGCCTATTTTTTGGTACGAGACTAACAAAATAAAATGTGCCGAGTCATAATTAGACGCACCAATGTTGATTTTCTTATGGTGCACCGAAAATTGACTCACTTCCTTTTTTTAATGTTAAAATCAAACGAAATAGGCCTTGAGTCAGATTTAAACGCAACAATGTTGATTTTCCTATGGTGCGCCGAAAGTTGACTCACTTTCTTTTATTACCGTATTAATCAAAGGAAATAAGCCTCGAAACAAATTTAAACGCACCCACATTGATTTTCCAATGGTGCGTCAAAAAATGACTCACCCTGTATATATAGTGACTCGGAGCAGCAGAAACAACCTTGCACCTTATTGTGCAGATATTGAAAGGAAGAAGAAGAAACAGCGTAACATGTCTTTTGTTGGTTTCACGGCCTATGATGACAAAAGCCTTAAACTTTATTTATGAATCCAGAAAATGATCAGCATTGCACAATAGACCAATACTGGTCGCTTGTTCTGGAGCAGAAATTGAGGAAGGAAAAGAAACAGCAGAACATGAAGTCTTCGGTTTGTAATAGGGTCTGTGCCATAATCACTCTACTTCTCGTATCTCACGTATTGAATAAGTTAGATAAAAACTTTTTTAAGGTAATATCGTCAAAGATTTTTCACTGGCACCGCCATTTTTAAATTGTGATCAAAAAACCTTTTAATATTAACAAGATCAACTGAGGAAAACTTGTTTTGTAACTCAGTTGCCAAGTCTGCCAGTCTTCATACATAGCAAGTATGATAATATGTATGGTGTTTATTGGGGATGAAATTCTTACCTAGCAGCAAAATGTAAAGGACTTTCGTTGTTGTTATTCTTTACATTTATGACAGCACCTAATTTTAAAAGATTTTCTAGACTTCTTATATGTCCTTCTCTGCTCGCATAGTGAAGAGGAGAACAGCCAGTGTTGTCTTTTTCGTTCAACAGCTCTTGCAATTTTTGCGGCGACTGTGCCTGCAATGACAATCAGCATTGATATACATAAAGTGATTTTTTATTTTTTATTTTTTTTTCAAAAGAAACGTTTTTACCTTCATAACCTCTTCGGCAAATTCATCCAACCTTCCTCCATTCATGACAACGAGATGAAGGACATTTCTGTCGTTGGAGTCTTTGAGCTGGATGTTCGCCTTGAGTCGTATCAATGTTAAAACCGTCCTCCAGCCTCCTCTCGAACCGGCGAGAAGAAGTGGCGATCTTTTCTCTTTGTCGAGTGCATTTATGTCCGCTCCCTGTAAAAAATCAAATCTGTAAGTTGGAATATATTCGGATAATTTTGTTGAACACTAACCTCGTTGATAAGATAATGGACGATCTCAGAACGGTCGAACATAGCCGCGCAATGCACGGGCGTCATCTTTTGAACGTCGTAAGAGACGAGGCATGTTTGTTTTTCGTCTGGCTGAAGAGCGAACATCAGCCTCACAATGTCAAGCGCCCCTTGTGCACAAGCCAGGTGGACCGGTGTAGAAAGGTCGTGTTGTTGTGTTGATATTTTGGCACCAGATTTAAGGCAGAGTTCGACAGCCTAGAAACAATTGGTTTCGTTAAACCGACACTTCTTGTAAATATTCTATCAGAAAATTTTTGAAAAAGTTTTGATTGTTATTATATTAAAGGATGATCTAAGATAAGACAAATTCATTTCCTACGTCGAGATTTCCAGGGAACCTTCATCACCACCACGAGACTATAGTTAATAATTCAACAATTTTTGATCTAGCTATCTATATAGTTTTCCAAATTTCATCGTATTTAGAACCATTTTTTAATATTACTAAACTTTATTGTCCTAGAACATTACAATGTTTACAATAATTATCAAGTAGAATATATACAAACATAAAATTCATGTAAGAAATGATTGTAGAGAAGCTCAGAACCATTATTTTAAAAAATAATTACACATATAATATTAAAATGTACAAAAATATTAAATAAATAAAAAAGACTTCATATAAATAAATAATTTGGCAACTTTTTCTGTTTATGCCTGAAGCAGTGTTTGGCAGGTTTCGGTTAAGATGGCGGAATCTTTATGAGAACAAATGAAATGAAACAATTGCACAGGTAGTAGGGATAGTTTGAGAAAGGGTAAGAATGCCTGCGTACTGTGTAAAAGTAAAGGCTTTAAAATACTCCCTTGAGGTACCATTGCTTCTTTGCGATAACCAGCTTATAAACAGGAGCCGTTGATGACTTGAAAGCGTTAAGTAGGATTTTAAGATCAGATGTAAAAGCATCATAACTTTTGGCAGGCGATCTCAAATTTCCTTGAAGATCGAGTCAGTCCCAATATTGCCTGTAACCTTGTAAAAGTGTTGGCAATGTTGGGACTGAGTCGGTCTTCAAGGAAATTAGAGATCGCCTGTAAAAACTTAAATATGTCAATCTGTAGACATATTTAAGGTTATTTTGCTTAAGGTGGTTCTTATCACTGTGATGTAAACGTCTCACGTTCAAATTGGCTTTTTTTTAAACACCGGCTCTCTGGGGTGTTGATATGACCACTACAGTAGCGAACCCCCTTAAAAAAAATAAGTAAATAGACAATAACATGTTTACCTTAAAGTCTCCACTGTGCACCGCCGAGTGGAGTGGCACGTTCCCTTCTGAGTCGTAAAACGAAATCATTTCCTCTCTTGTACAACCGATAGATTCACCCCATTGCAAGAATATCTCCATGGTTTTTGAAGAGGCATTTTTCGCAGCTTCGTGGATCGGGTAGTAACCGTTATTGCACGGCTTTCTTGGGCACGCGCCGAATTCCTTTATCTAAAACGTACACAATTTTATTTATTAAACAGGACAACCTAAAGCAACGGCATACCAGTATCCTCGCGCATTCATCGTGATCGTGTATCGCGGCCAGATGCAGTGCTGTTCTTCCATGCTCTCCTCCAATGTTCACTAATATCCTGTCCCTGTAGGTTTTTATCACTTCGAGCACTTTGACTTTATTCAGTTCCGTCGAAAGATGAATCACGGTCTGCTTCTTATCGTTCAAAATATTAGCATCAACTCCTCTAAAACAATCACAAAGTATTTATATAAAATTATTACACTTTACAATATTTTTAACGTCACATGTAATAAAATAAATTAAGAGACTATTATAGCAATATTTAGTCTTATTAATTCAGTATGTTCTGCTGGCAAAATGAATATAACGATATTAAAGACATGGGCATTTCATATTTGAAACATCTATACAGAAAACAAACACTTTGAGCGCTGAAGAAGATCTCAATAAAGGTCGAAACGTTGGCACGATAAAGAAAATGTTTTTCTAAAACCTACGTCACACCTGACCGCATCTCACGATCTCCAAATAATAATACAAAACTTTCATCTAATGAAGTACTAATGAATGAAAATTTTTTGTAAAAATTAGAGTGAGAGAGTCAGATAGTTGGACGGTTAGATACAATGAAATCAGACATCTGAGTCAAAGATTAAGTCTGCCTGTGAAGTTCATCATCGGAAGAAATCTCCATTCATCTATCATATACTTATCTTATTAGAATACTAAATTGGATAGACAAAGTTGTTTATCTGGGACTGACACTAGACAGGAAACTTAATATTGGTAAGCACATCCAAGGGCTAGTCGTTAAGGGACGATGTGCCATTAAGACATTATTTCAGCTTTTATCTATAGAATCGCTTCTCAGCATGGGAAACAAAATTCTAATTTTTAGAGCCGTTGCCAGACCCGTGTTGTTGTACGCCCGGCCTACATGGAGCTACACTTGTGTCACAAATATCAAAAAACTACAAATCATCCAAAACAAATTCCAAAGACTTGCCACGTCATCTCCGGGATACACAATTGCTCAAATCCATACGGAAACTGGCATAAAATGGATTCGCGACTTCATAGTCCTGAGCACGAAACAATTTTTTGCACATCACTCTATGATCCAAAATGAAATCTGCAGACAGGTAGGAAACAATTTCGTGGAAACATAGGAGAATAAAGCATAATATTATGTAGAGACAACGACAAAGCAAGTAACTTCCACTTATGAAAAATATCTGACTCCTTATTGATATAGAGCTATGGCATATTTATTTAAACTTATTTATTTACTTTTTGTTTTTTCCTGTTTATTTTTTATTGTTGATTATGTGTGGTGATTAGTGACCGTTAATCGATATTTATTTAGAAATCGTGAGATGCGGTCTGGTGTGATGTAGGTTTCAGAAAAACATTTTCTTTATGGTGCTAACGTTTCGATCTTTATTGAGATCATCTTCAGGGCTCAAAGTGTTTGTCTCCTGTGTAATTGTGCCATTTTTGGTCAAAGTGTTTGAGCCAAAAATGGCACAATTAACAGAAGACAAACACTTTGAGTCCTGAAGATGATCTCAATAAAGATCGAAACGTTGGCACGATAAAGAAAATGTTTTTCTGAAACCTACATCACACCAGACCGCATCTCACGATTTCTAAATAAATATTGTTGCTTATGTTTTATAATTGATGGTTTTGTTGTTTTTAGATGTTTTGGACCGTAGTTAACATCTATTATTATTATTTATTATTAGACAACACTTACTAAATTACCGTGAAATGGGTTAAATTGCCAAATATGAGTCAACTTAGATGATTAGTGGTTTTTTATACACTTTTTCCCCACTAAGTGAATCCGAGGTTTCTACAATATATTCCTAAAGTATTCAAATTTTCGGATGATTGCTTTAGGATGTCCAGAGTCCTGCTATTTTTCCCTAAATTATAAATTTATGTAGTACCTATGTAATTTGTCAATAAATATATTACTTCTATTACTACATCCATCTACCACCTTCAAAGCCTATGACCCACCCGAAAACGTCTCCGCATGAAGACGGTACGCTGAGTAATAAACCTGAGTGTAGTCCAGGAGTGTCACCACTTAAACTAGAGGTATTCATAGAAGATGATGGGTTTATTACTAGCTCTCTATCTTCTTGTATCGTATCCTCAAATTACATATTTTAAAGAGAAATTCCAGATTGTAATAAAATATTCATATTGATTTTTTAAATATACGCTAATATTACTTAACTTTCATAAATAATATCCACCAATAATTTCATGTAAGGTCTTGGTTGAAATAAAAAAGTTAATATCACGAGCGGGATTCACCCACGGCCTTTGTCTTTTTTCATTTTAACCAAGAACTTACATAAAAAGATTAATTAATTGAAAGAAGTAATTTGGTCAATAAGACCACTAAATAAAATGGATTTAATTATATAAACATAGAAATAGTATTTTCCTGAATTCAAAGTCTTGTTGCATAATCATCCTGACTGGCATGCAAAATCAAACGGGAAAATTTAACCATGTTATGTCGTTGGTTCAAAATTAAACTTGGATTCTTGACAAGTTACATTTTCTCGATAATTGGTTTAATTATATACAGCGTATTTGAAAATCTGAAGTATAATATTACCTTACCAATGACTTTCCTTCTATGTTTAAGTCTTGCTCTGCCAAAGACTACCTGTTCACAACGCATCATTATACCCAAATATGTGCTGATCAGATTGATTTACCAACAAACAACACCCCTTTGATTTATACCGCATGTTTCGAAATCAGGAACGTAAGAGAGGGAGAGTGAGAGAGGAGAGAAAGAGAGACACAGTGAGAGAGAGGGTGACGGACATACAGTCTGATAGATAGATAAGTAGATATAGATAGAGAAAGGTGGGAGAGATTGCGACAGTTTGTTTCAGAAAAAGAAAGAGGTAGATAGATAAGTATTCAGATTGAAAAAAGAGAAAGGGAGAGAGAGCAAGAGAGAGTGAGAATGAGGGAGGGGGAGAAGGGAAGGAAGTAAGTGAGAGACAGAAAGAGTGAGAGTGAGTGAGTGAGTGAGTGAGAGAGAGAGAGATTATTGCTTTATGTGACAATCACTCAAGGTTTGGTCTCTAGGACCTCTCTTACACCAAAAGTGAAAACAGAGAGTGAGAGGAAGAAAGAGAGAGAAAGTAAGAGCAAAAAAAGCGAAAGCGAGGAAGAGATAGAGAGGGAGGGAGAGAGAGAGTGAGAGGGAAAGAGAACGGTACAAATAACGCAAAAAAACATCGGCGATTTCAAAAAGAAAAGTTTAAAAAGCATAAAGCATCGCGTGTTTTATAACTTCACACCATACACTTTACAAAAGGCTCACGGTTGGTAAACTCAATTTTGCACATTCTTCGCGTCGCCTCATTTAAAAAAAGAAGCTTTCTCGAAATGTCAAGTGTTTCATCCTGAAGCTTTTATGTTGTATGAAGTGGCTGCAAAGACTCATCCCTTGGTGTGTTTTCGATTTTTTTTTAATTGTAAAAATTGTCGTTTCGGTCAGCCTGAATCTTCAAATGTTAAGTGGTTTGGCTTATGACCAAAATGATCAGACACAACTAATCTACACGTTTAGCACCTCATGAAATGCTCGAAGAAATTTCGCAAAATTAGATCAAACACACAAATGTAACTACAAATTTATAAATTACAAAAAAAATCGCTGAGTTTTTCCGAACAAAACAGACTTAGTCAACAAGAAGTTGTTAATTATCCTAGACGTCAAAATAACTATACAAATTACTTACAAAAATCATCACATCAATCAAAATAAAATTAATTATTAGTTGAAATAGGTTAATTATTTAAAAATAGATTTAAACACAATTTCTGTGAAATCTGAAAAAACAAGAAATTATTCTACAATAATAGATGGGAATTTTCACTATAATCTCAATACAAAGTACAAACTTTTAGCAGATTAATTATAGCATTCTCGGAAGTGATTGGCGAATTATTAGTGTGCTCTTGTAAACTTCTCAAGTTAGTGCGCGTCGAAGCAGAAACTCGCTGGCGTTATTATATAATAACTGATGTACAATCTGATAAAATGAGAACTCTCGTTATTATATTGGCTTTAAAATCTGATATTATAGATGTTAAATCCTTATTTTTACTTATTAGTTAAACTAGTACGCATAAAAATTTAATACACATTTATCTTCTACCTACTTTCACGACTAATAATATTAAAACCTTTGGTAGTTTTTTTTTTAAATTACTGAAACGGTCCGTTGAGAATGCATGCAGTAAAAATTTTAAATTTACTTACACTTGTAATAAAAAGTCTATTGCTTCATATGCATCATGCAGAACTGCTATGTGCAACGGAGTATTGCCTTGATGGTCAATAATATTCAAGTCTAGAATGAACAATTAATTATAAACATGTATAACTTTGTGATTTTTTTTTAAATTTGTCTTTGTTTTATCCAAGGATATATACTTACCTCCTCCATGGTTGGCAATAAATTGAAGTATATTTAATTTATTTCGTGCAGCAGCCTGATGTGCTGCGGTTCTGCCCTTGCTGTCTCTGAAACTAAGGCGAGACGGCTCGGCTGTAAAAAGCCTATTGAAATCTTCAATATTACCGCTCTCTGCAGCCTGAAAAAATAAATTTACATTGAAGATTTTTTAAAATTATAATGTACCGAAATACATTTTTTTGAAGACATGGATAATAATGTTTAAATTGAATTATTTTTATTAACAATAACTAGTGGAAAAATTACAGAAAAAAAGTGTGTAATACTGAAGGACGGTCATTGTCTTGTTATTGAACAAACATTACGCAATTTTTTAAAATTATTTCTCTCTACTCTATTCTATTTTCTAAAAATCTATATTTTTTTAAAACCAACTTACAGAATTTTTCACTTCAAATTACCATTGAGAATTTATCTTAGATACTTTGCTTAATGTTACTTTAAAACGACATACTTAACTCTTCAAAATCAATTCTTTTAATTAGAAACAGAAAATTCTCCTATTTATGTTTTAAAAAAATTCAGACACAAACATATACGCCACAGTTCTCATTAAAGAAAAATACTTAGATGAGTCGAGGATGAGATCATAAATAGCACAAGGAATAATAGAAAATCTCTGGTCGTTTTTATTGAGTGTAAAGCTCCTAGAACAGAGTAATAAAAGAAAATTTAATTATTGTTGTATGTTTGTTAAAAAACAAAACAGACTTAATTGGGCAAAGTTTCGACAATCAGTAATAGAACGTACAAAATCTCAACTTTTTTTTTAATATTAGCTGAAAATTAGCTATTTAGAATTTAACACGTCTAATAAATGTGAGGGGAAAAGAGGCAGCTATGTGTGAAATGAAGAAGCACAATTTTGTGACAAATCGTGAAAATCGGTCAACCGTTTAAGACGTTTCAGTCATAAAGATGCAAATATTCTTGCATTAAGCGAACTCGAATTAATGCGTGTATAATTTACTCGCTTTATTTGAATTATAGAACTCCGCACTTTTCATTCCCGTCTAAAGTTGAAAGTTGCATATTTTTAATTAAATTTTTCTAATATGTAAGCGTTTAAAAGCAGTATGAATTCTCCTTGACACGAAAGGAGAAAATAAACTGTGATATCTCAAATTAGAAAATATTACTTTAATTACACAGTGATATTAATATTATATATGCGGTTGATGGTGAAAATAAAAATAATTAAAAAAACGGATTTTCCGTCAGACCGGCCCTCAACGTAGCGAAAAAATATTTGTGTCAAAGGCGTTCTACTTTTCACAAGAATGTAAACTTCAGAATGTATTTTGACCAATTCAAAATTGTTTAAAAATTAAAATCTTGAAGGTATAATGAAAAGCATAACGAATTACACTGTAGGAAATTTATTGTAATATTTATTGTCGATTCCTAATGGAATTATGAAGCAAGTGTTTTTTGCCCAATAACAACTACTTAGTAGCTTTGCTTATTCCCAGTTGATTAAAATTGAAATTTTGCTCGTTGATTTTCAAAGATTGTGAATCACTGTCATTACGTCTGTTATCTATCATTGAAAGTTTTTAAATAACAAATATTCAAAGCCCGCGAATGTGTGGGGAACGCACAGAAAGGTTACTCCATGTATCCCAGATGATTGAGGGGTGCGATTATTTGGCTCCGTATAGAGAGCGCGTAGGAATGCGACCCGATATTAGAAATTTCCTTGAGCGAATTTGGGTCCATTGTTCTGATTCTTGGAGAAAACAGGGTACTTTCATTAGATATAATATTGATAGTTTTGTAGTATGTTATAAGGAGTAAATGTAAACTGACAGGAAAAATACGACCCAATTGATTTTTTTTCTCAATAAAGAAAATTCTGCCCTTAATTTGTCTCATTGTTTTATCAATAAATATTTGTTTAAGCTTTGTTTTAAGATGGGAATATCAATTAGGGGTAAACAAACTTAATCCTTAATCTAAAACAAGCATAAAGGATTTTTCAATGTTTACTCTTTACGGTATGTAAAGTGATTATTCGGAAATCGTGAGATGCGGTCTGGTGTGATGTAGGGTTCAGAAAAAACTTTTTCTTTATCGTGACAACGTTTCGATCTTTAATGAGATCATCTTTAGGGGCTGGGATTTGCAAACATCGTTTACATTTAACAAATACATGTAGGATGTGAAAAAAGTGAATTTATACAATGTAAAAAAATATATTTTTTGGTTTAAAGTTTATTTTGTGCTGATGATGACCTTCAAATAAGCCGAAAACCTAGTAGGTAACAATTGAATTTGTTCTTCGAGACCAGTCCGGCATTATTAAAGTGTATTAAGTAAAAAGGTGGTCGATACATCTATCACTTGAAAATTTGGGTTATCCACTAATCTGGACGAAGCCTAGTAAACTGTCTATTTTTTGTTTGGAAAATATTCATTTTTTTAATCATCCTTTTAATCAATTTTTCTATCTGCCTTGCCAATCGTTCATAGTTTTTGTTTATAAATGAACTTTTACTTCTTTCAGAGTCGCGTTTCTGAATCATTCTAGCTTTTAGCTTTTTACCCAGTCTTTTTACCGAATTTAAAAAAATAAAGTGTAGACCATAGAGTCAATAACTCTCTCTTATGGAGTTGAAAGTCTTTGTAGTTTTGTAAATAACAATCGTTTAAAACGTATCATCAACCAGAAAATATAGAACGTTGTGGCGACGATTATGGATAAAACTGCAAAGCTTTGATTACTTATATTTCAGTTAATTTTTCATGTATAAAATGTGAACGTTGAGAAGTAAGGATGAAATCAACAAAAACTTTCCAAACGTTTCATTTCGTATTAGACAATATGGTAGGATCGGGTAGTGGTCAAATGAATGTTCTTATGTTGAAACTACGCCAAGCTTTTGATGATTCTTTCCAAATGAAAAAAGTGTGTAATCTGATTGATAAAGTAATCAGATTAAGTAACACTAAGTTTCATGAGGAAAGCAAAGGGAAACTTAATTTGCTGAGGAAAAAGGGTATCCATTATCATTAATCAACAACTTGAAATATATCACCTTGATGTACACAAAATACTAAGAATTTTAGGCCACTAACGTATGTAAATCTAATATGTAATAAACTAAAAACGTTATTAGAGAAAAATGAAAAAATTTAGAAATAGTGAATAGATTTAGCAGTAGGATAGAGAAAAATTTCTTTACCAAGTTAAAATGTATCAAACCTCTTTCAAAACCTTCCCATTTGGTGTACTATATAACTGATTGTCCCACCACATACTACAGCCACATTAAACAGGACTTGGGAGAAAGAATAAGAATAATTATGATTGTAAAGACAAAAATAGACCGTGTACTGTTTTGTCAAAACATTGCCATGAATAAACACCTAAATTCAATTTTGATTAGGTAAAAATCATGACATATGAACTTTTCCTTAACCGTAGATTCATGAAAGAGATTAAATACAATTTTATGGATGAAAATGCATGCAACTTACAATCAGACATCAATGGTTTAAGTTCAATTTGTAGTAGGGTTTTAATGACCAAATAAATAAAAAATAAAATAATTTATGCAAAATATGGTTTATTTGTTTAATTTATAATTAGTATTATTAAATTGTAGTAGTTTTAGTACATTTAAAATTCAGAAGGTATAATTTTAATTATTTATTTATTACAAAATTAAAATAATGATTTTAAAGCACAAGTCTCAAACGTGGACAGATATATCTGATTTTGTCTGAGATACTAGTTTGTAAATTGTAAAAAGTGCCATTTTATTTATTTATTAAAAAAATTGTTTTTAATATAAAAAAAATTGTTTTTAATATAAAAAAAAAAGAAATTATAAAAAGAGAGAAAAAAGCTTTATACATGTTGATAAAAGAAAACAATTTTATATACTGGCTGAGAATTTGTAAGTTGTAAAAATAAATTGATGTTTGATTTTCACGTACACAGATGAGTAATTAAAACATATATATTTATATATCCTTTGTAGTCCTGAAGAAGGTGAAATAAAACACCGAAAGCTTGTCCTAGTTTTAACACAAGAATATTCATTATACTACATCCCCGATCACCTTTACATCATTATGTGTTAGATTTTGACTTATTTTTAGAATATTTATTTTTGGAAACCGAGGTTGTGGTATTATAGATATTATCCAAGTTCTAAACATGGAATGGAATTTTTTTCACATTTTTTTAATCAGAGACATTTAAAGGCGAAACATTCGGGAAAAGCTCATTTTTTGTTATTCTTCAAAAAATTGGTATTGCTTATGAATACTCGGACACGTGTTTAATATTTTTCGCCCTAGTATCAACAAAAGAAAGTTTCATTTTAATCTGTGATTCCAAGTTCGTAAATCCTCCCTTACAGAAACGGCTGTTCAAATGCTAAACCAACAATACCTACGAAACATTCCGGCTTACATACTTTCGGTACATAAAAAGATCTATGAACACGTAAACGTCAAACCTTTATTTAACACTGCAAATAATTAAAATTTTGTTTACAATTAATCTTTTCTTCAATTGTAACGTCACGATCCTTATAATTTTTCATCACCCTTTTCATTTTCCGCAAGATTCATAACGCAGATTCATAACTTTCAGCTCGAGATAAAGCCAATGGCTTATGTATTTATTTTTTGAAAATGTAGTCATTGCCTTGCCTAGTTATTTCCCAGACAGTGTCCTTCATACAGCCTTTTCTTGTAGAAGATATATTTTTTTATTGATGTTATTTATGATACTACAAAGGGTTTCATTTCCATAAGAGTCACTTATTAAGTCAATCATCTATATACTTGATTCTCTGTAAATCTACAAGCAAATATCAATTTATAATCAACTGAGAATGGACAAAGCTATGTTCTAGGTCGGCCTTGCCCAGTCATACCCCTGATAGCGCGCCATCCCCCTTTAGCCTTCTATGGTCAATTATACATTTTTTGAATAGGGTTATTTAGAAAACTACGTAAACGGTCATCTCTAGACTAGAGATTTATTGGTTCAGTCTAGACATTCAAAAAAATCCAGGTGTTATACTCGATCGAAAGCAAGTTTGACTCGATGAAGACCTCCGAGTAGCATTTATTCCTCTCAAGGAGGGATGTGACCAAGTC